AATTCTAACATTAAGATTTTTTTAAACCTGTCTAGAGTTCTGTCTGTTCAAGTGGCAACCCTGCGCCTGCTCTCACGACCTCGCGAGGAAATTAAGATTTTTCCACAGATTACGTTAGGTCGTTTCGTTCAGTATTTGTTTGCTTCTAAAGTAATGGGCCCGTAATGAGCTAGGCGCGGCGGTACACTCGCGCGCCGAATCGCGACGATATTTCAACTTGACTTGGGTAAATACCTGAACAAATGCTCGCTGGGGCGACGAACCCGTCAAACTTGGTTGGTCACACCCTAGCGTAAGGTTTTTTGAAAATTTTAACTGATTGACCGTGAGACGTATAAGGGAAAATGCTGTTGCTAAAATCGAATTTTTTTTTCAGTTGCTTGCTTGCAACAAAATCTTGCTAAAATCGATTTTTTTTTCAGTTATCAAATCGCCCTTATCGTATCATAATATACTATCGTAGCGCTTTAAGTTGAAGTTTGGAGAGCCCCATTGAGTTGTTACTAACAGCCCTATACGTAAGACAGTGAGTCACCATGAATCGATAGATATACCGGAGACCCCCTTAAAATGGATTGACATGGTTTAAAATATCATTGCAAATTACTCGTGTTTACGCATTATTCCCTACTCCATCTCGTAGAACCTTAAGTGGTCGCATTATGACCAGGGTAACAATTGATTCTTAATAATTATGTCTCGATTCGGTAACGAAATTATGTAAATAATACATTCTCTTCCCGCAATTTTCGGATTCTATCACGTTCGAACGTAATATTTTTAATCACTTTCGAATCGACTGTACTTGTTTATTGTATTGTTGTTAAATTTAGTGCAGCCCAAATAGGTGTGTTCGGAAGCAGTGTCACCTTTGGTATAAATTAACCTTAATGAACTTTCGCCAGAAATAATTAACTAAATGCACCCTAAAAATAACGTGAGCTGAAAGTATACTGCGCAATTGTTGAAACCAATATTATAGTTACTTATTCAAAGTAAATGGTTTGTAATATTCTTTTGAGAAATAAACTTTAACCCTAACAATACTCAGCTACCCTGTTCATTTAAAACTATGTCTGAAGCCTTCAACACCCTTCTTTTTACACTAACTGTATTACCAAGGGAACTACTGCAAATATCAAAGATTAAGTTACGTGCATGTGCATCTCACGACAGCCAGCGGAGAGTGACGAGCGATGGGAGATAAGGTAACTGCTCTACATAAATGTCTAACGCCCGTATTCACAAACATACATACGTCTCACAATGCGCGTGGACGCACAGATTGACACACGAACCAATCACAGATTCAACGCTGTACGTTCGATTTGCTGCTTCACTTAAGCAAACATCGTTTTTGAATACGGGTGTAAGCAAGCATTGAACTAGCCTTGTGGTTCCAACAGAGTAAAGTAGGACAATCCCCACTCTTCCCGTAGATTTAAGGAGGCAACTAAGAGAGAAATATGGAAACTTTAGGCCTCTCCAATCTGTCTAACCAGGGTGGGAAGTGCAAGCCAAATTATCTATTTGCCTCTGGTGAATCAGGGAGTCGTGTCCCTGCAGTGCAGAAATGACCAACTTGAGCAACAAGTCAAACAAATTAATTCGAAGTCAAAGATATGACAAACCGCAAGCGCCTCTCACGGCAATCAGTAGACAGTGACCAACGATGGGAAATAAGGAAAATTCTGTCTGTTTTAATTGCAAGCTGAGTGCTTGTCGACGCTGAATCTTGCAAGTATAGGCACAAATACCGACACGCGATGCAATGAGGGTTTTCGCGATTGAAAAATCCGCCAGATGGCAATACGTAGACGCGAGGTCCAAATGCTGCATGATTGGGTATTTTTGACATGACATTGACAGATATATCAAAATCCACCAATCATGCAGCATTTGAACCTCCCGTCTACGTATTGCCATCTGGCGGATTTTTCAGTCGCGAAAACCCTCATTGGAAGGTTATTACCACACAACCGGCGAAAATCAAGTTATCCAAATAATACTTCATCAGGGTAAGGCCTAAATTTCTCTAGACATTGGTTTCAATTACAAACCTCCCATTCCGACAAATTGGAACTCTCTGGGTGGTAAAATGAAAGTACCTACCTACTACTTACTTAATTTAAAACAGAAATAGATTTTTTTATGCTTATCAAGGCTCTCTCTCTCTCACTCTCGCCTTGAAAAGGCCCGGATTAATAGTCTTCAGGAAAGACAGCAGCAGGCAGCGAATTCCAGTCCCTAGCTGTCCCTAGTTGCAGCTCTAGGTTTTAGTCAATTTAAACATGTAGAGAGGGTATATTTTTAATAGTAATAAATACGAATACTTAACTTAGGTACCTACTACTGCCGCAAAACAAAACTCGTTCACGTTTATGAGTTATATAAAACTACAATTAATAACTATAGGTAGGTATACTAGTTTATTCAATAATAAGTTATTATACTGAAAACATTAAAGATTTTCAGGTATGCGCACGCGTTCTTCCGATGTCTCAAATCGCTGGCGGCGGAAAACGAGCGAATCGCCGTGATAACGATAACGTTTATTGCTTTGTAGAGACGCCACGTCCTGCGTGACGTGGTTTTAATCTTTATTTGCTTGATAAACTAACTTTTGCCCGCAACTTCACTCTAGGTCTGTTACTGAAAGACTTTGTCACGGCTATGTTTCGCTTTTAAAAACCGGGATAAAAATCCAATTTTCCCCCCTGGGTTTCAAACTATCTCTATAACAAAGATTCGTCATAAATGTATGAAAAATCTGAATCGTCGAACGTGTATAACTTGCCTTAGAGTAATCTTACAACTTTGATTGCCGTGTAGTAATCTTACTATTTTTTTTTGTTGGTCGGCACTTTCTAAAAAGACCCATAAATGTATGGTGCCTGAATGCTCTCCTTCATCTAAAGCTTTTCAGAGGTTGAAGCATGAAAAAGTAACCTAACAAACAGACAGAGTTACTATGTTACATAGTTAATTTTATTCGAAGTTCTGGATTTTCCACGTCCTGTAGGCAGTATAAATAAAGCGCTATAGCTAAATTGCCTCCCCTTATCTTAGATAAGTACTGGATTGATTTGTTTTTACACATTACACATTGGGACACATTAATTCGTGTCCATATTACCTATTATCACTGATGGCGCCATTATACAGGTTGTACTCCGACAGCATGTCAAGATAATCACGTGACTTATGCAGTTCTATGTAATGTTCGATATTGCAAAATATTTATGATGTCGACAGTAACAATTTGGTGTTTGTTTCAAATCAAATAATTTATTCAGTAACTAGGTATAGGCTCTTTCCAGAGCGTTTATTTGCTATAGGTAGTGCCCTTTGGTTAATGATTTTCAATTGAGAGGAATGTTTTGATTGAAAAATATACTAATTAATTATTTGACTATTTGTAGGAATGAAATATCGGAAAATTATATTGCATTTTTGCCATTTTAATAACAAGTTTATTTTCAAACTTTCGTCGAAAGAATTTGACAATATGTAAAGTAGGTAATTATCCACCGAAAGTGAACTTGCTCCACGACATTCGTCACCTGAGCACGTTGATTGGCAGGGATCCGCATATCATTGCCTCAGGCCAGAACTGGCCCAGTCTCCATTGATGACATCTTACGGCCTTGTGGACCCGGTACAGACCAGCTAAATTCTGTGGGCTCTTATCCAGTTGTAATAGAAGCTAATTTTCAACAATTTATAGTCTGGTGTGATGACGTCTGTACCTACATAATTGCTTATTTAGCAGCCAAACGACATTAAAATATTATTTATGCAAACAACCTGTTGAAAAAGCCATTTCGCAGATTTGAGCGACACCTCGTAAACTAGGTACTACAAGCTCATTTGGATTTGGGAATTTAGGGCTTATAATGTCTAAAAATAATACTTAAAACTGATCTGAGACTCTATATCTGTCAATTGTTTTAAAGGCGTGTATCTAAGTAGAGTACCTAGGTATATAGGTATCTGTCTGTTTTACGTTTCATACTAACACGGTACACGATTGAACCTATTTTGATGGGTTTTTGTATGGAACCTAGGAGGGACATGGACTACCTTTATCTCAATAACAAAGGTGTAATAGAGAATAAGGGTTATGTGCCAAGCTTCGAGCAGAAACAGCTCTAAGCTTATTTAACTTTAATTTTATCCCAGGACAAAATTTTGTAATTGAAATATGTTTGCTTCCTTTCTGAATAGTTACACTTACTTTCTGAATAGTTCTCTTAGAACAAAAAGATATTGGACTGATCGATAAACTATTTTTTTTAATTTACTACTGTATTTGTCATTACAATGGAAACACCGAAAGAGTGATAGACTGATCGCAGATAAAAGTTTTAAAAGTATACTTAGTTATTTATCTTTATAATCAATCACCTTTTTAATCAAACCGATATTATTACTCAGAAATGACAACATTCTCAAGCGATTAGACTCATTAACGATTTGTTAAAGATAGTAATCTAAATTTAATTAATTCCAATAAAACACCGCCCCTACTCTCTAAGTATTTAGAGCTACTAAAATATCATTATTAACAAGTAATATTTTGTGATACATCAATTTTAATATACTTACTTGTTCAGAAATAACTTTGTCTTCGTCATGCACGCATTTAGTTGTAAGTTTAACAGTTTTATTGCTTAAAAGATCTGCTTATTAAAAACCTGAAGAATCCAAGTAGAGCAAAGTTTCTTCTCTGCTTTAAGAAAATACAGATAGAAGGTTTTCAAGATTATGAATTTCTACTTCATAAACTATTACAACTAATTTATCTAAACGAAAATCTCAACATAATTTCACTAATTGCGTGATTTTATCTCTACCCACTTATCATCAAAATCAAACGTTTAGGTACATTAAAAATAAGAATTTTCCGCGAACAATCATAAAACTAATGATCTAAGATTGATGTTAAGACTGCTCAAATAATAATAACGTATTGTTTCAGTTAAACACGAATAACTCACCTGAAATTTTTATTTACACAACACAAAACTACTCATTCACTTCACAGCGCACTGGAAATAAATTCAAACACGAATTGATTATTTAAACCTCCGTGTGTTCGTCATCAAGAACAACCAGCACCCCTGAAAAAAAAGTTTGTCAGGCGCGATCTATCAGTTTTCGCGCCAATAGCACTTTTCAAATCGCCGCGTGCGCTCAGAAGCAACGCTTTCCACAAACTAATTTACTTTTCCTGCGCATTGCTCGCAATCGTAGAAGCAAACCGACCAAGATTAATATCAGTTGAATATAAAGATGTATTCGTATGTTATTTGCTCTTTAACGTGGTTGCATAATAATGCGTGTGATTGCTTGATTTGTTAGCATAAGTAGTTGTTTTGTTTAATTAACATGATGTTGCCTAAACTAGCAACGTTTTCAGGGACTGATCACAATGAAAGCTTTGTTTAGATTCTCGGTAACAACATGTTTTGACGTTAATTGTTGATATTTTCATCTTAATTTGCTATTTACACCAGTTTCAGAATATGTAGGTACTCGACTCTGTCTTTTCAGGGTAATTACAAACAAGATAAATTATATCGCTTGCAGCAGCGGCGGTTTTGCCCAAAATATTCGGTATCCGGTATTTTAAAATAGTTTTTTGAACTTCTTTAACAGCTATAAAGCAGCTTGATAGACATTATCGTGGTTCTTGATTAGAGATAACTTTCGTTTTGCTATCTTTATCCTAATCTACACCACTTGACACATTTGAAAGTATTTTGCTGTTTTTTTACAAAAACATAGGTACCTAAGTATCATTTCTAAATGAAGAAAGACACTGGATCTCCTGATAGATCAGTGATTGATGGGGCCAGTGATAAGTTCAAGAGATTGGGCAATACCTTTCTTAGGGATTTCAAAATAGTCATCGAATATTTTTGTTGCATTGCAAAATACTCTGTTTGCCTGTGATGAATTACAAGAACAATTTATAGTTGTTATCTATCGTATATGAACGCTGTCTATTACTAAACAGAATATTTCTTTTCAGAATATAAATATGACTAAGTATTACATTCAAAGAATAACTGTTAAAAATCTTATTAATGCATTAGACAATATTAAATTTTAGATTAATCAATATTATCAGCAAAGATTCTGTTGTCTTGTAAACTTTAGCGACTCTATCGCCAAACATTTAGGACAAACCACGGATGGGTCTGCAAAAGAAAACATAATGGAATCTCACATTGACAATATATGTAGTTACTTACTTGCATCTACAAAATTACTTACGTAAGTAAAAGATATTTAAGTGACGAAATCTGCAACTTGAAGTTTGCAACTTTTTAGAAGGGTCACTAATATTAGCATGCCAGAGAACGGTTCACGGTCTCTTCAAGGATGTGCGCGACGGGGAAAACACTTTTTTCCCATTGTTATCGGCCCAGCGATCTAAGACCTACCTTATTTGAGCTGTATTGGCGTTTGACGATTCTCATATTACTTTTGCGGATTTCCTTGTTTCGGAAATCTACATGACTTCTGATGTGTCTCATTCTTCATACTCTCATTAAGGGTAAGAAAAAATATGTGTGAAATAATGAAACGCGGGTAACCCGCATGCGGAGATCTGCACGCGTGACGAAATCCGCGTCACAGGAAAAGAGCACAAAAAGATTTTAAAAAAACTCATGAAACTCATTTACTTTTGCAAATAGGCTTTTAAAAAGCAGTTTTACACGTTCCAATATTAATAGGGTTAACCCTACCACTGCTTCGGAACAATAAATGGGCCAGTGCTGAGAAGAAGCAGCGCAAGAAACTCAGTCACTATTTAAACAATTAACATACAAGGTATAGGGTGAACTAACGCGACTAGGGTGACCTAAAAAAGTTACTACTTACCTCCATAAAAAATGTTACATTGGCGCGAAATTTTATAAACAGGTAATAAGTCCGTTGGTTTGTATGCCATTAGCTCCGATAATAGACACCAAAAGTTATCGTAATTAGTATTGATAAGCATCACTAATCAACTGATAAGTGTTTAATGCGAATGTAGGGTCTAAACATATTATTTGCATGTAAATAATGATTATAATAAATTAATAATAAAAACTATAATTTTAAAATTATAGTATAACCTACATTAGGACCTAATGAGTCCAGAAAACCACGGGAAACGTTGAGTGCAACGCTTTGCCTGTTTTGATGTTAGATCATTAAATAATAATACATAAACTATTACATTGTGTCCTACTGACTGTACTGCAGTGTACACATGGGTCACAATAATGTAACTTTTACAACGCGATAAGGCTGCCGCTGCGAAGTAGGCTGTGTAACTAACCATGCTCTGTGTAACTAACTACTATACATCGGTTCCGAGAAATGTGCGTCAAACAGCCGGATTTAATATCTTGGAGACAATCGATTGTATTGTCTATGACGAAAGGAAATTTGGAGGTATTTCCAGACTAGTCACAAGAATTTATCACAATACAAGCAAAGTAACTAACTAAAGCAAAAGGAATAGCTGTGGCAAGCCAAGCGGAAGTCAACGTCTACAAATATTGCTAGTTAAACCTCGTACCTACCTACCATGATGATGATGAGAATGATGGTGCGCCTGGTGCTTTAGACACCGCAATATCGCGTTAGCACGCATTTGATATTAATTTTTCAAACTAATTTAAACTCGCCTACATTACACGCCCAAACGATCCAAATACCCTACAGCAGCAAGCTTAATAAGTCGATAAAGTTGTATTAATTTAATTTAAAAAAATGTATCAAAATAAATCAAATATAGCCTGACCAGGAACATAAAAACCCTGGCATAGAGGCGCGTCAATTGCATTTGATAGTGCAACACTGAGTACAGTCGTACCTGTGTTAAATTAATAGGCTAACTTTATGTATCAGGATTCAGGATTACGGGCTAATTTGATATTTTATTTATAGATATTTTATATTTTTTCATAAATTAACGAAAAAATATTATTATAGGTAACCTGATTTTAATAAATTAAATGAAACCATCAATCGAGCTAGTAGATTTATTTTATTATTCATCAATAATCAAATTCAGAACTTGAATATTCAACTGCAATGTCTGCTCATGAACGCTTCAAACTCGGTACTTCTTTCCCAATCCCATAAAATTCAACACTTAGAAAGTGACAAAATTTTTAAAATAGGTAGTTGAAACAAACCACAGCTAATTTTCATAGTGGACTGTACTATACGATAAACATGTCAGTCAATTTGACAACCTTTGTCGGGAACATTATTCAATGAAAATATTGTCCGAACCCTTAGTATTTCTTTAACAAATTGTGAACCACTTTTCTTTCACGACTATAAAAATATTTTAGCAATTTAATTCATAAAACCAATTGCGCACATTTAAAATAAAGTTTGTTTACACTTTGACAGCAATAGACTGACATGCAAGGTGACATGTCAATGAAGTTTTCAGTTACTGTTGCCATTAAAAGAAATTAGTACCATTAGTTTTCCGCAACATGGCGAGGGTTTTTATGTTCCTGGTCAGGCTTATAAAAGAAACAAACAAACTTTATTTCGAGCCAAAGTAGACAATCATTAAATATTACTTAACGTAGGTACTTATTAAATGGTACCCGGTAATTTTGGCACCTTTTATTATGAAATTGAAGGTTAAAAATGTTTTTAGACATTCATTTTTGTAATAATCAGTGAAATTAGATTTAAAATACAATCATGTTAATAAAGTCAGTGTGTTGAAAACTTAATGAGAATAGACAAAATTGAATTTTTCTACCAAACGTCATAATAAATGATCTTTTCTCTATGGTATGTCAACATGGTCGCCATACAGCTGTCATTTTTGAGAACACGATTGGTCGTCACGGAATTTTACGGCGAATTTCATCCTTGTGTGGTGAACAAGAACATTCGCATTTAATTTATCTAATAATCACTTACAAATTACCGATTGCTAAACAAAATTAAAAGTTATCATAAATGTAATTGTGTTCAATACGTCCTTGAAGTCTTGTCTACCAGTAGACCTATTTTCACACTGCGATTCAATAGAATACAGTTGCTGTTGTAATGGAAACTAATTTCGGCGCAGCGACGAGACGGAGACAATCAGCTGTCGAAGGTTACAAATGAAATCTTAGAAGCAGGTGCGTAGTGTTTATCAGTTCAGTGAGGGGACACAGTTGATCGCTGATCGACAGGTTTTATGTGCGTGTGACGGTGACATGAGCACAAACAACAAACGGCGTGGAGCTAGCGGTTCCAGTTGTCCTGTGTCTGGAGTACCAGCTCTCGTGAACGTGCCCACCGCTATGTCGGCCGACCTAGCCTCGCTGTTCGAGTGCCCAGTGTGCTTCGACTATGTCCTGCCGCCGATACTGCAGTGCCAGAGCGGGCACCTGGTGTGCTCCAGCTGCCGGCCCAAGCTGTCCTGCTGCCCGACGTGCCGCGGCCCGCTTGGCAACATACGGAACCTCGCCATGGAGAAAGTCGCCAGCAACGTCATGTTCCCCTGCAAACACTCTAACACAGGCTGCACAGTCACTCTTGTGCACACTGAAAAAGCAGAACATGAGGAAGCTTGTGAATTCAGGCCATACTCCTGCCCTTGTCCCGGAGCGTCCTGCAAATGGCAGGGAGGACTAGATCAAGTCATGCCGCACCTTATGATGTCTCACAAAAGCATTACCACACTACAAGGCGAAGACATAGTGTTTTTAGCTACAGATATCAATCTTCCGGGAGCTGTTGATTGGGTGATGATGCAGTCTTGTTTCAACCATCATTTCATGTTAGTTCTTGAAAAGCAAGAGAAGTTTGATGGTCATCAGCAATTCTTTGCTATTGTCCAACTTATAGGATCTCGTAAAGAAGCAGAGAACTTTGCGTATCGTTTGGAGCTCAATGGTCATCGTCGGCGCCTCACGTGGGAAGCTATGCCGCGATCTATTCATGAAGGAGTATCTTCAGCGATAATGAATTCAGACTGTCTCGTGTTTGACACATCCCTTGCACAACTGTTTGCTGACAATGGGAACCTTGGAATCAATGTCACAATATCTATTGCCTAATATCCACCATGTCGTTATAGTTGGTACCAACCACTGGGACATTTGTTGACAAACTAAAAAAATAATCTAATTATAATATTGTGTCAATGTAATGTCCCCTCATAATTTTTTGTAATAGATGAAAATAATATAACTCGAATATTACATAAATACCTTATGTGTAAACATGAAATCATATTTTGTTACAGTTTGGGAATACAATTAATTTTGACTTGACATGTTTTGTATTAATTAATCTGCAGTAATGTAAGCCAAAAATATTATAATTTCTTTGATTGTTTGTATGTACATGTGTGTTCATCTTTAGGGTTAAGTAGAGAAAGTTTAAATTCTTCCAGTGCGCTTCGTCACTATGGAATGGAATGCCTTGTAAACATAGTTTATAAAACAAATTATGACCTCTCGGAAGAGAAAGTGATTATTTTATTCCAAACAATGAACAAATTTTGTACTAACATTAATCATTTGTATATAAATGCATGAAAATTATCTACACTTAAGGAATTTTAAGCAATTTTGTGATGTTGCTTTGTTACAAGAATACTAGTGTGCTGGCATTGCCGGACTTAACGGACATGATGCTGTAGTACAAATTGTGATGGTTCAAGTTGTGTGGATATGTTGCTGAATATTCGTCACACTTGTGCTGCCTGGTCTTACACACTCAAGTTCTTCTAGATGTTAACTTGAGCCCAGCACTTTATCTTCAAATTAGTGGGAACAGTGCTGTAATATAAAATTCAGAACCGTCATTTGGGCCTTTTTCCACCAAGAACAAGGGCACACAGAATAAACTGCTATTATAGGAGAAATTGCATTATTTATTGATGTGAACATCATAATACTTTATATGTATATTTCATCTGCAGTGTGTACAGCTCTTCAATATTTCTTCTGGATATTACTGAAGCCTCTCAAAGGCATAATGTCAGTGATCAAATAATGAATATACCTATATAATATATGTTTATTCCATGTTTTTATTAAAGCTGTTACAACCATGTCTATAACAGACCACTAACTATGTTTTGGAGCAACAGCTCAATGTACATAAGTTAACCAGTTTCTTTGTGTCAATATGACTGAATTATTTATTAGTTGTGTTAGGCTTCATCTTATTTATACCTATATGTTACTTAATTCTAGTTATAATTATGTAATTTTCTTCTATAAACCCTGTTTCCACTGCGGAGGCGTGTTTAAATTGTTTTAAAAGTGTACTATACCTTATGAATATGATATGATAAAGCTGGTTAAATTTATGAAATTGCTAGAAATAAATTTTTGTAATGTAAGAACTTGTTTTAATAACACTACTTTCCTACTGCTGATCTTGATGTTGTGTTGGACAATTTAGCTGCCTTGATATTACAGCAAAACTTCATAGGGTAAAAAAAAAATCAACTTGATTTATATAAATTTTATTTTCATAACAATTCTCAATGTAATTTACATAACATACATAAATATAACTTTTAAAATAAATAACATAACTAGAACCATAAACGATTTTACAATTTTTCGCACTGGTATTTATTTTGGATTAAGACCATACAACAGAATCGAAAAAATTAACTTAGTCAATATTTACTTATTATATTAATCATTTATGCATACTATAATCGACTATTTAATTTTTATCTCATTGGGCAATTCAAATAATTATTTGATTATAATCACAATGTCCATATTATGAACTATCCAGTGAGCCAGATCTCCAATTGGACTCGGTTTAAAGCACCAACCAAATTGATTTTGGCTATACAACTATAAATAACATTTTTAATTTAAAGTTACGTTGGCTTTCCACTACTTTGCGGTAGTAATGGCGAAGGCAAGAGGCACGCAGCGGTCGGAGAGTCACTGTTGTCTAAAATTGACGTCCCTTCATTTTGTGGTGAGCTGATCGGATCTCCCTGCTGCGGTAATGTGACCGCTAAAGCTGCATTGAAAGGGTCACTATTCCTTTGCACAATTTCAAACGGATCGTACGTTCTGTTGGTCTTCGTATCCACTAGGCTGAACTCGTTGAATTTCTCTAAAGTCTCACTGAATGTACTCGGTTGTGGCGCGAAGGGGTCGAATGGTTTGATGCCGTCAGGACTAAAAGGGTCTTTAGCTTCTTTCGGTGCATCCTCCGCTATACTATTATCGCCACTAAAATCTGACAAATCAATATCGTAATTTATATTGCTTAGACCTGGAGCGAGGTGATCAGAACCAAACTCGTCCGGCGTCATCAATTCATCTATGGATCGCGAATCGAACGGAGTGAATCCTAAAGGTGACGGAGTGAGTAGTTCTAGTGAGCTTATCTGTTTCAAGTCCCAGGTTTGGTCCAAGTTTTGTGGCGATTTTGGTGAAGGCCTCTCGATAACTTCGAACCCTAAAATGTTGAGTTTTTCAGGTTCTGTACTACTTACATCAACTGTCAGGATTTCAGGTTCTTTTTGTTCAATTTCTGTTCTTAGAGGTGGTGCTGGTAAGGGAATTGGCACACTTCTGTCTACAGTCGGCTTAGCCATCTCTGTTTGCTCTATGGTTATAAGTTTATCTATGAGCGATTGTGGGTCTGGTGTTTGAGTGTCCGGTTGTGCCGAAGTTGAAGTGTTTTCCTTGGAGGGTGGACTGGGTTCGATATCAATGAGAGGTTTAGCACTGGTTTTGAATTTCCCAATTTGTGGCAGTTCCCGTCGCGGTTTTATTTCCAACGGCGTCTTCGATAGTACGTCTTGTACCTTTTTAACGATTTGCTCCTGTAATATAAAAATATTCAATTAATATTTAATCTTTGGATCACCAGAACAATCAGAGGTTCAAGTGGGAAAGGTGTGTTCATGAGCGGTAATTTGGCTTGGCACATAATTATATTGCTGTCGTGACTGTGCAACGGGCGGCCGTAGTGAGTGTGCGAGCGCGACAGCAATATAATTACGCGCGAGCGATAAGGATGGGTAGCTTGAGGTCATGGACGAAATTCTATCTGCTCGGCGACCGGACTAGTAAGGCCCCGAGTCACGCACGTTACTCTTGCGCGAGTGTGGTCCAGCGAGTGTCACCTCGCTACCCATCCATATCGCTCGCGCGTAATTATATTGCTGTCACGACTGTGCGACAGGCGCCCGCAGTGAGTGTGCGATTGCGACAGCAACATAATTACGCGCGAGCGATAAGGATGGGTAGCTTGGGGTCATGGACGAAATTCTATCTGCTCGGCGACCGGACATTAGTGAGACCCCGAGTCTCGCACGTTACTCTTGCGCAGGTGAGCAGGGATGTTATGGATATCCGTAACCGTAACCGAAACTTTCGGATATTCGAATTAAAAAAATATCTGTAACCGTAACCGAAACCGGTATAATATTATTCCTATATCCGTAACCGTATCCATAACCTTACCACATGTCCATAACATCCCTACAAGTGAGCAAGTGTAGTCCAGCGTGGTGACGGCCACATACCTCGAAGGTGACGGCGTTGTGGTGCATCTGGTCGGCGTTGTCCCGCAGGGTGGTCGCGGCCGCGCTTAGCTCTTGCGCCGCCAGCCGCAGCTCTTCCGCCTCGCGCGCCGCGCCGCACAGAGACAATGCCGCCGCCTGCGCACAACATTAAAGCTGGTTTTAGGCTTGATTTACTCCTACCAGGCCTGTTCATCTCCGTGAGTTTACATCGAAAACAAAACACGCACGATGGCCCACCTACAGGATACTATTCGACAAGGCCTCACATACGAGCGAACATTGACTCACGCACGCGTATTCTTGTGTATGATGGAAAGAAAATAAAGAAAATGGTGTATTAAATAGTCTGCAGTATTTAACTGCCTAAATAATAATAAAAACACAGAATTTACTTTTTTAAGTTGCCTCAAGACACTGAGAGGTAAATAAGTAGTTAATATTATTCATGATAATTCATGCGAAATCCTGCTAAATCATGTATTTCCTCCGGCATTTTCCGCAGTTTGGCATCTCACGTCACATCATTTTACCGACGTCAGCCCTATAGCTTCGGCGCAGTGCCGATCACTGACGTTTGTCAACAAAATGGTGCTTGACTCTTGAGACAGGCTAAATTACACCATATTGTTAATGACATTGAGCATACATTTTTTTAAATACCTTCGCGAAGTAAAACTTCTGTACGTAGTACTTATTATTATTCTGTGCTCCTACGCTGACGTCGGTCGCGTACATCGGTCGAGCGTACGAATAAACACAATGTTCTATGAATCACCGCACTGCAACGCCGTCGTCAGCGGCAGATGATTACATAGAACTAGTGTGTCATCGTGCGCGCCGCTGACGTCGGTCACCGATGTCAGCCTAAAAGGAAATCAAACCTTAGAGTCACGCTGACCGTCAGCGCTGACAGCCGAATTGTATGAAGCGTCGGCGCCGAGCGATCAGCGTCACTTAGGAACGTTCCCTCCAATTACATACAGCGCCGACGATCAGCGTGCGGTCAGCGCGACTCTAAAACCAGCCTAACAATTCATTAATGGTCCTAGCTCATTAAGTCACCATGGTGGCGATACCGATCGCGTCACCAACATCATGTTGCCACCACCCTTTTGTAACATTATAGAGGAAAATAAATTATTGAGTATACATACAGTTCCTGGGCCTGGTCAGATATCAACTTGGTTGCGAAGCCATCTTGAAAAATGTAATAAGATAGGGCCCAAAGTCTACTGCAGAAGCACGTGGACGTGGTCTTATTAGCCGGGCTAGGATGCGCGCCGTACACTCTTATCGACGTCAAAATGTATGGGCAAAATCGATAAAATAACGTGATAACCACTTATCACGGCGCGCATCCTAGGCCTACAGGAAAACGTTGACTGCTGAACAAAGGCCTCCCCCAATGTTTTCCAATGACAAAATTAAATGAGAGATCCTGCTCTGATCGTATGTAGGTGCTTCTAGTAACCAGTTGGCGGCACTGTCTTAACCACTAACAAACCTTACTGTAAAACTTAGGTTAGCGCTAAAACGGCAGCGCTCATTCCGTGCACATCTTCGTTATTTATTTATAAAATTATGTTCTATACTATGTCTATTCGCGGATTTACAAGCGCTTGTTCTTACCCAAGCACTGCCGCCGATGGACGCCGGCATCGCCATGTAGCAGTCGAACTCTGTCTTGTCCATGCTCAAAGATTCCGCAGTCAGGTTTTCAATGAACGATACAGCACAACACTGAAAGTCGAAGGACATCGTTTAATAACATGCGAAGAACTAAATAGTACTATATCAAACTGTAACCGCGCTTTCACCAATGAGAATTATCTACAACCGATTAACCGAGTTAAATGCGCACATGGCAGCCGTGACGTCACATAGAACGCGGGGAGGTGTGCGAAGGAGTCGTATTCCAGCGAAGTGCGCAGTTAGCTCGATCGATTCGTAACTGGTTCACTCGTCATGTCTGTGAACAGGCGCTGCTTTCGGGGACTGGTCAATCCAAGTTATTCAAATTTATGTATGCGAGGCATTTCTACTAGTATCTTAATATGTAAGTCTAGATATTAGCACGTCACCACCTTGTTTAATATACCACGCAATCTTGTATACCCATTCTTATAAGATACACCATAGAATGCATGGTAAATTCAGTGAACTGCTCCTGAATCGAATGTACCTACTACTACTATTTCTATTTATTTATAATATTAACCGGCAGACAGTGGTGACTGAGTTTGTTGCGGCGCTTCTTCTCAGCACTTGCCAAATGTTGGTCTCGAAGCGCTGGTAGGGTAAAAAGATTATGAAACATGTAGAGGCTCCTTAAGAGCAAACTGACGATTTGTAAGAACTATTTATTAGTCCAAACAAATAAAGAAATTTTGACTTTGACTTTGACTTTGATTTGTAGAAGTAACGATGTCGACCAGTGATTACTGATGTATATGAACTTTAGGGCGGCGCTACAGTATACCCCTTCAACAAATATAGCAAGTTTTCATTGATTTTGGACCTTAATACAAGCGAATAGGTTAAAAATAAGGTTGAACTATATTTCCTCTATTTTATAATAGATACCAGAGTAAATACAAATGAGTAGGTCATCTTCATAGAAACGCCCGAGCGCGGTTTGTATGTGAGCGCGCCAATACGTATGCGGCGCGCACGCACACACTGACAAAATTTAGCGGTGAGTTGCCCCGAATTTTGTCAGTGTGTGCNTGACAAAATTTAGCGGTGAGTTGCCCCGAATTTTGTCAGTGTGTGCGTGCGCGCCGCATACGTATTGGCGCGCTCACATACAAACCGCGCTCGGTGCGTTTCTATGAAGAAGACCTACTCATTTGTATTTACTCTGTAGATACTGACCAGGTTGGTGAAGTAATAACCGCCCTCGCCCGTCATGAGGCGCTGCGCGTTACAGAAGCGCGTCACGAAGTTGATGTTGCTGACCAGACGCGGAGGGTTCGCTTTCAGCACCTACGAAACAACTGGGTTACTCAGCAGTTGAAATTTATCAAGCCACCAGATGTCGATTTCATGGCTTGAGCTGTTTTAATTTATCTTTGAATAATGTAAGATTTAGAATAGTCTCTGGTCCTGCTAGAGCCGTATTTGGTGGCGCTCTCATACCTCAGGCACTGACTGTTACCAGAGTAAATACAAATGAGTAGGTTATCTTCATAGAAACTCACCAAGCGCGGTTTGTATGTGAGCGGGCCAATACGTATGCGGCGCGCGACAAAATTTAGCGTGGATTAGCGGAGTTGCGCCGAATTTTGTCAGTGTGTGCGTGCGCGCCGCGTACGTATTGGCGCGCGCTCTCATACAAACCGCGCTCGGTGCGTTTCTATGAAGATGACATGGCTCAAAATCACCAAGGTTGCGAATTTCAAAATCGGTTTTATGACAAAAAAAATTGCAAGCTATAATGATGACTATTAGTTTATACTGTTGCTTAATTTGTATATTTTTAAACCTTGACAGGGCAGCGCACAGAATCCTTTATTTTTTTAGTAATATTGCTTAGTAGTAAATATCTTGCAGAAAACCATCAATTCGGGAACGTTTTCCTAAGTTTCATAAAATCCGAAAAAACCAAACAAAGCGCATAATTTGAGCTTTGTTTACAACATGGGTATATTATGTAACTATTTTGAATAAGCAATAATGAAATCAATACATTCAAAATTTTCTACAAGCAAAATACGTCAAAAAAATAAAGAAGTTGCTATTATTCCGCATACAATTTAAGAAATTTCATAATATTTAAAACTCTTTTAATCGAATTAACGTAATATGTACAGAACAAAAGTTCTGTAATGTAATAAATATATACATAATATTGAAATACCTCCATTTATGCGTATTTTATTGAAATATTGTAATTTACCTAAACAAATAAATTAAAAATACTTGCGGATCAAAAGTACTCAATCATACTACAATTTACGAAAAAATCACGCGTGACGCATATACGTCAGTGGGCAGTCAACTGACATAGACCCGGCGTCTACGAGTGCCAAAGCACGACTGATTTATGCCATTTGATGCACCCGATTTTATAGTATTTTCAAATTAATTTTTCATTTGAAGATTGAAGATAGATATTTTTTCTTTTTCACACAATAATAGTACTATGTTTCTTCTTAAGTATAAAGTAGTTTATGTTGCCAAATGACTTTTAGATTATGAGATGTGACCTGTTTTCTTGCAGTAATTTTCTCGAATTTTGACTATCTTAGACATGATAAAAATGCATTTTAATGAATTAAACATCAAAATTTTCTCAATACACTTTCTTCTTCAGGGTATGCTTATTCTAATGAATACATTCTATCTTCTTACTTAGAAATAAATTTGTTGTAATATTAGTTCAAAGTTGTGCCTTCGCGAGTTACCTGGAAATCGGGCTTTCGAAATTCGCTGTTTTCGTAGGCAAAAATCCAATTTGAACGAAATTTTGTCAATAGACATTCCGTAAAAATGTATGATAATTACGATGATATAAGTCAAAAGAAGCTATAACAATAAATTATATGACTAAAATCATTTCGAAATCTGCCAAATTCTCGATTTCTGCATGAAAAATGTGACAACGCTTTTAAGACGTAATTTAGCTAATAAGTCGTATTACATTGAAATTGAATGACTAAAACATAATGGCTATTATTAATTTATAAAAGATCGATTCATCACTAAAAGCAACCGACCGGGCGCCTCGCTAGTCATTAGATATTTAAGAGCACTTTTACACTCGTATTTTTAACGCAGCGTTAGTTTTGAAGAATGCATTTGTTTTAAAGTAAATTGATTTAAAACTCACTCGATTCCCACTCAAACTCAATTCTATTTGAATTTAAAAATAAATAAATAAACAGCATTACTGGTATCTTCGGATCTTAAGCATTATTTTTAAAATATTTTTTAATACAAAACAATTTTACTTGTGGGGGTCCTTGCATAAATGCTTTAAATTGACTTATTAGATATCTCTTATTAATAAATAAACTTACTAGTTAGTCTTATTTTTGATTCAGTAATAGAATAAGCAAATTAAATTACTATAGTATTTTATTATTAGCAAAGTATTTTATGAAATAGAAAGATCAAAGACAAGCATAATTTTCCTTTAAATTACAAACAGGTTCAATACCTTCTGACACTAGTGGTGTAGAAATTACATTACAATATGGTAATATTTAAGATTACGCACTATTTTGTATGAGTTCCTACAAACAATATTATTTAGTTATAATTTGATAGAACATCGAACGTCGCTCTAAAAACCACACCAATTATAACGCTACGTTTCGACGCGCGTTTCTTTTTCTGATGTAAAGCCTCCTTTACACTCTCACGACTATTGCATCGTGCATTTCTCAAAGGCGGGCGTTATAAATAGTTTCAAACGTAGCCCAAACGGACTAATGCTATTAGTAAAAGAGACCAGTGCCCTAAGCACGAATAACTCTCATAAGGTTGTCGACGAGTATACTAATATTATAAAGCTGAAGAGTTTGTTAGTTTGTTTGAACTCGCAATCTCAGGAACTAGGTACTGCACTAATTTTAAAAAAATACTTATGTGTTCGATAGCCCGTTTATCGAGGAAGGCTTTAGGCATAACAACATCATCCTACAACCAATAGGGGTGGAGCAGTAAAGGAAAATGTTACGAAAACGGTAAAAAATATTACAATTTTCACGCGTACGAACTCGAAGTTGCGGGCACAGCTAGCTTTGATAACCATATTTGAAATTGAATTGAAAAAAAAAATTGACAGACCGGGGTCCATAGCGGCGCTGTTTTGTTTTTCACACAAATGAGACGTTTACGGTACCTGGGAACGATATTTGTTCGTGCTTCCGGTACTCGGATCATTCAGCTCGGGGTTGACCTTTAAGGTTATAACATTGTTTCTTTGATCCCTCTGACGTAGTTGGGTACAGCGACAAGGTGAATAACACTTGGTGTTGTTGAGCGAATTTCAATTGTGTTGATTGGGTAATCGATTAGAAGCCTTAAAGAAGGCTGAGTTGCACCATCGTACTTTAATAAATAACAAACGTCAAGTCTGTGAAACTCCATACAATAAACACCGGTTATGGTTACATTTATGGTTAACATTAAAGTACGATGGTGCAACACAGCCTTCTATTTACAGCAGAACCTGTAATTTTTTTTAAGAACCCATACAAGGGTGTGCGGTTTTTTTGATGATTACTGTCTGATATGTCAATGTATTTAAACCCTTTTAAAAGAGGAAAGACTTTTTGATACATAGTGGTTTGTATGTTATATCAAACCCTACATTAAGGGTCATCNAAAAAGAGGATCAAATATTATTTTTGTTTACCAAATATTAAAAGAGTATGTTAAACATAAATATTATGTTACCTTTAATGAAGATCATTCATAATTTATCCGTAGATCAACTAATATAGACCCAATAATTAATATAAAGATAAAATATAATAAAAAACATCATTTATTTTTAAAAGTGCACATACAAAAAAGATCAATTAGTTTTTAGAGGATCAAATAATTTTGTCCCTTATAAAAACACAAAATTTTGTAATAAATGTATTAAATATTGTAAATGATTCGCCCTTACAAATAATAATCATCATTCCGAGAACGCAACAGTCATTTCGGGAACGTGCCATCATGTCCGGGAACGTTTCCAAAATGACCGTTCACGAAATGACGATTTCAAATAAGCGTGCGCTTTAATTAGACGGCAGCCATATTAAATGCGATCTGGGTTTGTCAATAGGAAAATATTTGAGATTACTTTGTTATTTCGTGTAATAAAAAAGAATTTTATCAATAATTAAATGTAATAATTACGTTCACGAAATGACGGATTATTGATGTACGCTTTACGAATAATGAATTGAAAGGTACTTACCATTTAGATTTATTTTATTTAACGATAAATACTCTGACAGCCCGTTTTGTTATTGTTTTCTTCCTCGACTAACGTTAGACACCGAATGGCTGCGTTAACTTAAAATATTTTTTGATCGATTATCAATACGTTCACTGAAATGACTTGTGCGGTATCGGACAAACTATATTGGACATTTTTATAGTTAAAAATAAATATTTTTTTAGTATCCTTTTTAAAACTAAATTTTGTATAAAAAAATACGGTGTATTAAGTAATGACATGTGTAAATTACCTTAACTTTTTATGTAAAATTTTGGACTTGTTGCTGAAGATTGTACATTAGGACGCGTTCCCGAAATGATTATCCATGCATGTATATTGATTTTATTTAAAATTTGCTTTATTAATTAGTTATATTGTTTGATGTACACACAAAACAAGTTAGTTGAAGTAATTTATTATTATTATTTTCTCAAATAAGTCAAGATTTAAGACATTAAATTGCTAGCAAAGCCAATTCTGCACCTTGGTGATTTTGAGCCACATACTCATTTGTATTTACTCTGCTGTTACGCCCTAAACGTATAGTAAGACCACAGCAAGCAATATTTGCTGTTGTAATTAGTTTTCGTATCTAATGTGCTATCGGCCACAGTTCCAGCTATCCATTTTCGTTTTTCTCTCGCTCTCATCAAATGGTGATTCTTTGCGATAGAACGAGGCGACATGACCGCAAATGGGTATAGTCTGGTCTGTGAGCACGTAGAATTTTGTCCAATGACCCCAAGCTACCCATCCTTATCACTCGCACGTAATTATGTTGCTGTCGCGCTCGCACACTCACTGCGGGCGCCCGTCGCACAGTCGCGACAGCAATATAATTACGCGCGAGCGATAAGGATGGGTAGCTTGGGGTCATTGGACAAAATTCTACGTGCTCACGGACCGGGCCGTAGCTGGAACTGTGGCCGATAGTACGTGAGTGTTGTGCGAGGAGTACTCACGGTGAAGATGAGGGCGGGCAGCAGGTCGTCGGCAGAAGCAGGCGCTCCACACAGCGCCAGCACGTGGCGGCAGCAGCGCCGCACGCGCGCCAGCTTGCCGCCCGGCGACGACGCCGCGTCCATGCCCAGGAGCTCTGTTACAGATCAATTACCGCTTTAAAACTTGAAAGACAATGGCCTCAGGCTGGGCTGCAACTTAATAAAACCCACGCTAGCTAAAGGTGGCGGTTCGCACCGAGACGGGAGACCGCGCCGGTACTTGACTTTCTGTCTCTGACGCTTATAATATTATGTAAAGACAAGCAACGGCAGTCCTGGATCTGTCAGTAGGCCGCGGCCTAGGGGCGGCAGATTTCAGATGACGCTTACTCGATTTCAGAAGATAAAAGTTAAATAAAGATCCAACCCCACCCTAGCCTACGGGCGGCAAAACTGTAAATCCGCCACTGAGTAATGGTCTCGGTCTCCTGTTTCGGTCGCAACGCGAACCGCCATCTTTAGAGCGTTTACAGACTATGCCGCAGCAGCAACGGCGCCCGCCGCCGCCGCGTAGTAAGGCCCCAACAAATCTAAATAAAACTAATGCAACGACTGCCGTGGCAGCATAAAATTCACCCGTAAGGGCGGCTATATTTCACCGGGACACCATGGCGGCGCATCCAGTCGCCGCTACCAACAAAATGTATACAGCTTTGCGCAACCAAACGGACACCAGGTGAGTAACTCTCTATAGAGCTGTATACATTTTGTTGGTAGCGGCGACTGGTTGCGCCGCCATGATGTCCCGGTGAAATATAGCCCTTAATAACCTGATTATGGTGATAATGATATCCAATTGTGTATTCCAGGTGTCGCTCGCCCACCCATCCCAGCTGCTGGTGACGTCACACTCACCGCTGATAGCCTTGTACAGCAGCTGGCGGCAGGTAGCGGAGCCGCGGTCCAGCTTGCACTCCAGGTGTCGCTCGCCCACCCATCCCAGCTGCTGGTGACGTCACACTCACCGCTGATAGCCTTGTACAGCAGCTGGCGGCAGGTAGCGGAGCCGCGGTCCAGCTTGCACTCCAGGTGTCGCTCGCCCACCCATCCCAGCTGCTGGTGACGTCACACTCACCGCTGATAGCCTTGTACAGCAGCTGGCGGCAGGTAGCGGAGCCGCGGTCCAGCTTGCACTCCAGGTGTCGCTCGCCCACCCATCCCAGCTGCTGGTGACGTCACACTCACCGCTGATAGCCTTGTACAGCAGCTGGCGGCAGGTAGCGGAGCCGCGGTCCAGCTTGCACTCCAGGTGTCGCTCGCCCACCCATCCCAGCTGCTGGTGACGTCACACTCACCGCTGATAGCCTTGTACAGCAGCTGGCGGCAGGTAGCGGAGCCGCGGTCCAGCTTGCACTCCAGGTGTCGCTCGCCCACCCATCCCAGCTGCTGGTGACGTCACACTCACCGCTGATAGCCTTGTACAGCAGCTGGCGGCAGGTAGCGGAGCCGCGGTCCAGCTTGCACTCCAGGTGTCGCTCGCCCACCCATCCCAGCTGTTGGATGCGTTCTGACATGGCGCGGTCTAGGCGCTCGTCGTCAGTGCCAGCGGGAGAGAACACCACTGATGGCAGCCTGGGTTGGAGAATGAGAAAATTTTACTTTGCCGATCCACCGAGCGATCCACGGCGCTGCGATTGCATGTGGCAAGTTTATAAATATTTGATCATGTGCCTACAGCCCGGTCAAGTACACCTGGCGGCCGTGACGTCACATCGACGCTCTGGTACGACCAGGGCGAACGCGAGATGTGTGGATCGAGGGAGTTGCATTCCATCGAGGTGCGCAGTTAACTCGTAAGTGTAAGTGCATCTGTGCATCGCGCGATCAGAGCCCATTTTAACCGTTGACGAAAAATGACGTCATAGCTTGTCTTTGACATACAAAATCTAAGACAGAATCGCGTTTTGAAAGCTACCCTATTTTAAAATCCTGAAACGCCTATTTGATGGTTCTTTCTAAGAATATTTATGTTCTACATACCTAAGAAAATTTATATTCTATCTATCTGTTCATAAGCCATCCATCTCAAAAAAATACTTAAATATAGCACCACTATTAACTTTCATAGACATTTGTGGCAATATTTTGAAAATGAAGACATATACAATTTAACTAACTTCGAAAACAATATAAATAACTTGTACTTACTCATGTAGGTACGTCATGGCGTGCTTCTCGACGAAGTCTACCAGAAGCTCCTTGGTGTCGGAGTCTACGTTCGCGAAGTGTGGCGCCGTGTCCATGTGCTTTATAAACCTCTGTAAATAAACATAAAGAATAATGTTATACTACGTAGAACCAAGTCTTCTCCATATTAGATTAAAAGATATTACCATCATCATTTCAGCCACAGGACGTCCACTGCTGAACATAGGCCTCCCCCAATGCTTTCCATGTTGATCGATTGGTAGCGGCCTGCGTCCAGCGCTTCCCTGCTACCTTTACGATGTCGTCGGTCCACCTTGTAGGTGGACGTCCCACGCTGCGTTTTCCGGTACGCGGCCTCCATTCCAGAACCTTTCTGCCCCATCAGTGTATAACCAATGTGTGTTACCAGTGATAACTTATGGCTCGGAAACGTGGCCTCTCACTATAGGCCTTATACAGAAGCTAAAAGTTGCACAGCGTGCTATGGAGAGGGCTATGCTTGGTGTTTCTTTGCGAGATCGAATCAGAAATGAGGAGATCCGTAAACGAACCAAAGTCGCTGACATAGCCCGACGTATTAGCAAGCTGAAGTGGCAATGGGCAGGGCACATAGTACGCAAAAGATATTAGAGAAATAAAAATGTTTAGGCAGGTCTGGATGCAGGCCGCTACCAAGCGTGCTATGTGGAAGTCATTGAGGGAGGCCTATGTTCAGCAGTAGACGTCCTGTGGCGGAAATGATGATGATGAAAAATGTTTAGTCTTATAAATTATCTTTGTAATAATCAATCAAGATATAAATACAAAATTAAAACCTACAAGTTGTTATTATTTTTATCCACTTAATCCAAACAAAGTATAACTTTTAAATGAAATTAGGGTATGGTTTTCCCCTTTTTAATGAGTTATTATAAATAATACTTATTGATGGAGTTCAGAACAATGGAATGTATTCTAGTGACGTTTTTAATATCGATAATATTATTATGTGCAATCGCCGCCATAAAAACGATAAACTTTACAACATAGTGTTGTTGATAGATATTCTAGAATATTCTATATAAACAGTCCTTGAAAGGTCGAATCAAACAAAGAAGAAAATGACATGTAGTTTACATAATTCAGAAGGACTTTATCACATGATTTTTATTTACTTTTATTGATATGCTTATAAGTTACTACAAGAGTTCTCACAGGTAATATGATATGAACATAATAAATAAATAGACATTGCAGTTATCAGATCAATCACCTGACCCACGTGAGAAAGCCAATATAAAAAATAATGAATGATGAGTAAAGAAGTCAATTTCAAAGACCATCTTTGAAACTATGCAGCCATCATAGTCTACACCACTAATGCGCCATATCGCGTCATCGTGGTGACTTTCTTGAGCTGCCCAATGATTACATTTTCGTTGCCGGCAACAATTTTGGCTGCGCAATCAAGCTGATACCAGCCGGGCTAGGATGCGCAACATGATGCAATCTTATCGATGATTTTAACGACAAATGTATGGGTTTATAGTGTAAAATGGACGGATCGCGCTGAATTTTGGCATGCAGGTAGATGTTATCACGTAGGCATCCGCTAAGAAAGGATTTTACGAAACTCCACCCTAAGGGAGTAAAACGGGATCCACGCGTTCGAAGTCGCGGGCGCCCGCTAGTTAAAACATATAACGGCGCGCATTCTACATACATAAGCCTACAGGTGAAGTTCTCTCCATAAATATAGTTTTGACTGTAAGACCATAAGTTTTTTGAACTTTGAGTCAAAACCACTTTTGACTGATTTTTGCAGTCAAAACCACTTTTGACTGATTTTTGCAGTCAAGTGGTTTTGACTGATTATGAGTTTTACTGCAACATATTTTATACATTTAGTTGGTGAGTCGACTAGTGGTGTACCAAGTCTAAATGAGATAGTGCCCTCTCACCTGATACTGCCTCTGCACCCTCTCCGACAGCTCATCCACGCTCATGACGTTCGCGCACTTGATGACGTCCATGATGAAGTTGTGCGCGAACGCTCGCGCGTCTCGCTCCACTTGCGTGCCCAGCGCTGGGAAGCGCACGCGAAAGTCCTGCTTCATGCCCTCATTTACCATGGAAGGGATCTTGAACTCAGGGAGGCGCTTCTCAGGCGTGTGCTCGTGGTCATCTAAACAAATTAAGGAATACTAAGATCAAAATCAAAAATATTTTGTTCAATTTAGACCACTAGTGGCACTTATGAACGTCAAAATACAGTAAAAAAATGGTAACCCTTAAGGGGGGGGGGCACTTTACATGTTTCCTTATCTTTTGGCCCTACCAGATAGGTCAAAAACTACGCATCTCATCTTAATTTTATGCAAAGGACATTGTGTGCTGTATCAAAGATACTAAATTAGGGATAAAGTGTTTTTAATTATCATATCAACATAGATGTGCCCTCTAAGCAGAAGAACCCTATAACACCTGCTTTAGCAAGCAAGAATGTGGTAGATTAACAGGTTTATCCAATATTCAGCATCATGACTGTCTAGCCTAAGAAGGCTGCTAGTATTCTAGCCTGGCCAATCTAAGGGGAGAAACTATGTTACACACAGTAGCAAAATCAGATCTCAATCAATCAGTGGGAAAAAGCAATCATGGATGTACTGTTCACATTATTTCTATGCAGCCTATAGTATAATTTAGAAATTACCTGAACTACTTTTCTTAAACACGCTGAATTTGAGCAGGTTAGCCTTCTTCAAAGTTTCAGTCTGGCGTAGACGCTTCTCCTCAAACTTGGAGAATGACGAATGAGACGACAGTTTGAGTCCACGGTCTGGTTTCTTCTGCTCCGGCTTTGGAAGGGTTGCAGAAGGATTTGTTGAGGCTTTTTCTGTTTATAAATAAAGATATTGTAAATAGCCAGTATTATTATATCACACTTCATCACTATGTTAATCTTTTGTAATTAGTTGTAATAAACAAATCAAATAAAATTTTAAGAAACAGGTGTGGTGTTAAGTCCCACTATCAAATACAATTGTTTTAAACTTCCTGTAATCAATTTAAACTTTCAAGGTACTACACACCTTGGCAATTATCAGATGTTATGTCAAAAATTACTTTATCAAAACCATTGTTATGTGATAATATTGCATGAAGGTTAAGTTCACTTTATCTTTGATAGAATCAAATCACAGATTGGAATACTTAAACAACAGTAACTTAAAAGTAAATTACCTATAATGAATCTCTTTATATTCCAACTGGTATTAAAGATAATTCTTTAAATAATGTGAACATTATCATTGACCTTACTTTCATTTCTTGTTCTAATAAGAAACATTTGAGGTTTTCTGAATAAAGAAAAATAAAAATAAAATAAAATTTATGGAGAACAAGGCAGGTATTTGACCGCAATTGCACCTGATGTTAAGTGAGAAGCAGTCTAGGATGATACATATCTGCCCTGTAAGTGCCTGTTCACTCTCACCTTGAAAATGTATACCTTGAATATCTAGGAATATGTTTTATAAATGTTTGAATGCGATCTGTGTATGTACAAGAGAGAATATTGTGTTGAGTAAGTTCTGATGATGTGAGAATGAATTTTAACAGGAACAAAGGTTAAGCCTTCCAAACAAGAGGGTATGAAAAGCAATTTATCGAAAAAGGTGAGATACAGCAAGAGGTTCCTCAGTGTGGATAAAAAAAAAACACGAACCTGCTCTCCGCTGCCTCATCATCTGCTCGCGGTGGCACTTGGAGCAGTAGCCCTGCCACTGCGGGTTGCCGAAGTAGTCGCAGCCATTCTTGCACTTCAGCTCGCTCTGGTCGATCCGCAGCGACGGCATCTTCGACGCGAAGCTCATGTACTTGTACGACCGCTGCAAGTTAGGCCCGTACCACATACTCACTCGAATCCCTCACACAAACTTCAAAACCCTACACTCGTACAGCCTACCCAAAAACAGGCTGATGATCTCAACCCATCTTACGTTAAAGTCACGAATGATAACACTTTCACAGCGTAAATAATTAACATACATCGCAGAGTTACACGTTAACGGCGGCCGTTGAACGATTTTCATCGTTATATAGGCTACTCTTATCATGAAAATGTACTTGAGTAACAGCGATAACCAAATCAATCTTGACAAAGCTGTACACGTAAAAATATTAAGAATCAGAAGGTAAATTAGCTACAACTTAGTCCGAAATTGTTTATGAAACTTACCTCTTGGTCAAACACTTTATAATTTCACTTTTTAATTAAATTAAATGGATTATTACACAAAAACTGCAACTGCATAGTACCTCCAACAATGACAACAAAAAAAATATTTTGACGTTTTTTTTACTGACGTTTTGGCTGTTGACATTTGTTTTTTTTACATACAGACAGATAGCAGTAACTGACCCAAGGACTTTCCCCAAGGTATAAATTATAAATTCAATTTATTTGTTTTTATTTAATGCGCATTTTCCTGAAAGTTAAGTTAATTCTAGCGCCTAAAAGCTTCTTTCTCACAGGTAACGAATGGTACCACACTTCATTCGTCGGCGGATTCATGAGTAAGATGCTGCCATGCTCTAAGAGTATTTTAACTGCAAAAAAGAGAAAATACAATACTTTAATATTATTCTCACTGTTGAATAGGTACATATTTTATCCTAAAATTTATTTCCAAAAATAGTAATTTGTTTGTCTTTGTTTTCCATTTATCTTTGATGTTGTTTTATTGATGTTTCCATAGCAACAAGAAACTGTAAACAGAAGTGCTGTGCTTGTGACTAACAAAATAATTTATTTTACGCCACAAAACCATGGAATACTTGCAAATTAAAGACGGACAATATACGAAAACAATATACACAATGGTAATGTTTAGTTATCTGTTATTATTTTGTTCTCAATAAGTTCAATAACTTTGAAACTTCTATGCAAATAGGTAGATACGGTCAGCAAAACAATGTTAAACAATCATAGGCAATTCTATAATGATGACGAAATAACCAAAGTAGTAGATACCTAGGTACCACACATACCACTTACTAAGTTAGATGAGTCTATAGACTATAACTATACCTAACTTAATTAAATGAACCAAAAAAAATAGATTAGGTATGCCATATTATGTAAGTAGATATGCCTACCTACATGAGTCCACAATCTATCTACTTAAAAATTCTTCCTTAAATTGCGCAACAAAAACATTATCTATGACATAAACTAACCCAACCCAAGATTTGCAACATCAATCATCGCACCCATGCGGAAATAATGGTAACAACATCATTAAAAACGTAATTCGATAAACGAACATTATCATAAACCCTCGCCGTTGTATCTGTGCCAGGTCAGAATCCGTTAAACGGGACGTAGATTAGATTAACGATTGCAACGATAAAGATTATTTGATAACATCGTGAAATAGCGGTTTATCTTTCGACAGACAAAAGATTACGAAATGTACCTACTTACTTAACAATAATTTTCTTTGTTAATAAATTGTCAACAGACGAAATAAACAGCTTTTATCTGTGTGGTGCCTACCTAGGTATTTGCCACGCGCCAGGCATAAGTAATCCACTTGCACGCGTGGCTTTATGGCTTTTCTATCGCCCAAAGACATGTAGGTAAACAAGCACTTGATGACTCATCCCTTATGTCATTCATCATGATAAAACATTAACACAAAGACATTCTTCAGCCTTACCTTAGGCTAATTTAACGACGATAAACACTTAGCTAACCTATTTTCAGACTGAAAAGGATACACGAGTAATTATCAATAACGCAGTGCGCACAGTCGTTTCTAGTACGTAGCACCTAATTAAAATAGGACACTCAGCGGACTCATGTACAACGTCCTTTTGCTACCCACTTGTTTACTTACACTCCTCGAACCTAATCTATTATGATAATCAATCACAATAAAGGACTTCTATAATGTATTATCATGTTAAATCGAGGTGATCGTCAACCAAACAAATAGGTAATACCCATTTCAAAATCGTATCCTGTAACCAATGTTCATTTTCAGATAAAAGAAGCTCGGTTTGAGGACGCAATAAAAGCACTGAACGACGCCATCAACTTCAACCCAAATCGTGCTGGCTTGTCCTTGCTCGGCTATTGCTACTTTAGAACACAAGCATTCGTCGAAGCTGCTAATTGCTATGAACAATTAACGGCAATGCACCCTGATGTGCCCGAATATAAACTGTATTTTGCACAAGCTCTCTACGAAGCCTCCATGTTTGATGAGTCTTATAAAGTCACGATGCAAATCAATGCACCAGAATTAGAGCGGAAAGTTATTAAATTGCAATCTGCTGTAAAATATGGGGAAGACGATACAATAAGTGCTAAAGGACTTGTAGAATCATACCCTCAAGAAGATCCTGACAAAGATATAAACCTGGGATGTCTCCTATTCAAAGAGAATCAGTATGAAGAAGCACTGCAGAAATTTTCTAGAAGTCTCAATGTTTTGGGATTCAATGCGCACTTACATTACAATGTAGCTTTATGTTACTTTAGATTGAAAGAATATCCACAAGCCCTAAAACATATCACTCTTGTTATCGAAAGAGGTATTCGAGATCACCCAGAATTGGCTGTCGGTATGCAAGCTGAAACATCTGAAGTAAAATCTGTCGGTAATACATTGACTCTACACGAGACAGCGCTGACTGAAGTATTCAATTTGAAAGCTGCTATCGAATATCAGTTGAAAAATATCGAGTCTGCAAGAGAAGCACTAAGCGACATGCCACCAAGACATGAACACGAACTTGATGCAGTAACATTGCACAATTTAGCACTCACTTCAATAGACATAAAGCCAACCGACGGATTTGAAAAACTTCATTTTTTGCTACAACAAGATCCTTTTCCACCAGAAACCTTTGCTAACTTACTGCTTCTTTATTGCAAATTTGAATATTTTGATCTAGCAGCAGACGTGTTAGCTGAAAACGCTCAGTTTACATACAAATATTTAACCCCGTATTTATACGACTTCCTAGATGCTATAATCACAAGCCAAACTTCACCAGAGGAAGCATTTCAAAAGTACGAAGACATTGCTTCGAAACATGCTGAGCAATTACGAAAGCTTACAAAAGTAGTCCAAGAAAGTCGTGCTCAAGGCGATAATGACCAAGTCAAAAAAGCCGTTGTAGAATATGAAGAAGCTTTGGAAAGATACATACCGGTAGTTATGGCACAAGCGAAGATTTATTGGGATATGGAGAACTATGGACAAGTTGAGAAGATATTCCGGAAATCTGTGGAATTCTGCAACGAATCTGATGTCTGGCGTCTGAATGTAGCCCACGTATTGTTTATGCAAGAAAATAAATACAAGGAAGCTGCTAGCTTTTACGAGCCAATAGTAAAAAAGCAGTATGATAATATTTTAGACATAAGTGCTGTCGTATTAGCTAATTTGTGCGTATCGTATATAATGACCTCCCAAAACGAAGAAGCAGAAGATATAATGCGAAAAATAGAAAAAGAGGAAGAACAACAAATTTTCGAGGATCCGCAGAAGAAATTCTATCACTTGTGCATCGTCAACTTGGTGATCGGAACATTGTATTGTGCAAAGGGTAACTACGAATTTGGTATTTCTAGAGTAATCAAATCGTTGGAGCCCTTCAACAAACGTCTAGGTACTGACACTTGGTTCTACGCAAAACGATGTTTTCTGTCGTTTCTAGAGAACTTGGCTAAGCACTTGATAGTCGTTAAAGATAACACTATTAAAGAATGCTTGCAATTTCTCGAAGGATGTGAGACATATGGCAGACGAGTGAGCACTGTTATCGAGAGCCCTTTTCAAGAGGAAGATGCAAACACGAAAGCCAAACAGACTGTCACCTATGAAGCTCGTTTACTTCGATATATGTTTTTTAAGCTTAAGAATATTGATGATTCTGTAACAATTAACAAATATGAAGACTTGAAATAAACATTACCTGTGGGTATATCTTTTTTGTCTTTACCAGGTTTTCTTGCATCTTTATGTTTCAAAACGAAATCCCTTTCTTGACCAAGAGAAATTGACGCAATGGGATAGTTGTGATCTAATTCTGGTTCATTGTCTCTGTGCTCACCCATGTGGTCATTACCATTTCTGTACCTGAAAAGAAATCGCATCACTAAATCTAATCAATTTGCAATAAGTCTTTTATTTTCAATATCTTTAGTAGAACTTACTTGTTCACCAGAACGAAATCATATTTAATGCCCTTAAGAGCAAATAGAAAATCTCTCAGGGCTAAAACTGGCGCAGGCCAGGGCAAAGCAGGCACAGTCGTTCCCGAATATGTGTAAGTTATTCCTGGGTCTCCATAAGCGACTTGTTGACGCGGTAGAGGATGCACTTTGCCAAAAACCCTATAGTATACAAAAACATTTTAAAAAGCAAGTAATATGAAACGGTTTGTAAGAGATAATATTGTTAGTTATGTAACTACCTATGTTTTAATTAATGTACCCTCCTACTACTACTAACTATTCTAACTTTGCTATAGCTACAATTTTGTACCTACCCCCTGGTGAGGGAACTTTTTTTAAATTTAGTACTCGCGCTCATTTAGTTAGGTATAATACTTTAGTTATTATTAAATCTTGTCAAACCAAGTATCGCGAAAAAAAATTATATTTTCAATAGTTATGTAGGTAATAATAGTATCAATATTTTCAGACTTACTTTATGCGCGCCAGATCTCCTGCAAAATATTCTAAAGTATCTTCAAGTTCCTCCAATATTGTATTGGCTATTGGTCTTGGTATAACAACCGTATAATCAAGGTTTAGGCCGTCATTTTTAATAGACTTCCATATTACAGCATTTATATCTATATCTTTGAGTTTTTCCATAATTTAATTAACCTAAAAATTAATTATACTTAAAGGATTAAAGAACTATACCCATTGCCATTACCTAAATGAAATATTTTAAAAAGAAAAATGTCATAACATTATTTTTGAGCCTAAAAATGAAGTTTTTAAACGTACCATTAATAACAGCCAATGTGTTTTTATTTAATTTAGTAGATGCTCTTCACATTTATACACATCTAGGCTCTTTTTCGCTTAGGTTTACATAGCCAAGCACAATAAATTCGCAAAAAAATCAAACCACAAATACCATAACATGGTAACACTGGCAAAATAAAAATGATACCATACTGCAGTACAAGAATTACCACAATCAGATTTTTAATTAAAAAAAAAGTACCTAGTACAATCCCTACTAATAATAAATGCGAAAGTAACTCTGTCTGTGTCGCTTTCACGCCTAAACTACTGAACCGATTTTAATTAAATTTAGCATTGAGATAGTTTGAGTCCCGGGAAGTCATAGGAAAGGTTTTTCCTGGTTTTTGAAAAAAAAAATCATGCGGGCGCTGCCGCGTACGGAAAGCTAGTATGATAAATAGTGAGAAGTTTCAATAACACAAAAATACAAATAAAGAGAAAATAAAATTTATTTGTCTCAAATAACACACCATCCAAAGTTAAAATCGTTATAAAATCATCCACAAAGAAAAGGAGGAGCGGGTGATCTAGATGGAACTATATTTTTGTTGTTTTGCAAAAACTTTTGGAAAGCTTCAGAGCCGGTCAAAAATCTTTCACTTGTTGGATACAAAGTGCGAAGTGTGATAGAGCTGGGTTCTGTGATGATTGTTCTGGAACTGAAGAAAAATATAGATGGGTCATTCCATAAAAATCTGTATATTTTCGACGTCATTTTGTCCTAAACTTTTTTAAGATGCTTTTGAATACTTTATGAGTGTAAATTATAGTTTATGTATTAATTATGTTATGTCTAAAAGGGCCAGTCATTTTATGCTTTATTTTAGGAGAAATTATAATTTTAAGTTTTTTCATACTACATTACTCCTATGTGACTTTTAATAAAGTATAAAACTTACAACCTTAACACTTATAGATAAGTTAATATACTTAATGTAGTTGTTTTGTTAATAATACTATATAAAAAACGTTATTCCCTAACTAGTAACTTAGTCCCTAGCGCCGTTTAAAGCTAGGGCCTGACGGTCTAGGGACTGACGATTTGAAGTAAAATTTAACAAAAATGCAGATTAACTTTATATTATAAGATGCTTGATACGATGTGCCGAAAATAGCCGAAAAACCACACTTAAATACTATTAAATTATATACAATTTCCTATTGTAATCAATAAAGCTACTCAACTAGGGACTGACGAAGTGACTGTATCAACACATGTTTTCGCAACATCTGGCACGTTTGCACTAATTCAAAAAACGGCTGCCGCAAAGCCAGTATGTTCTGAGGATAACTTCGTATCGTACTTTAAACTCAACTAAATGTCATTCACTCTAAATACACATTAAAGCGCAAAATTATAAAATCAGTGCGTGGCGAGGGAATGACGCTAAAAGCTGTGGACTCTTTTTCAACTAAAGAAAATCAAATTATTGTTTATTGAAATCGCAAAATATTAATAGAATTTGGTGTAATATAGGTTTGAATAGAATATTCGTTAATTATAATAAAGGATCAAGTTGATGTTTTTATAAATATGGGTTCCAAAACACAAACTTTTGGAGTACGGACATGCCTAGGGAATGACGTTTTGGGTCATTTAAAAGGAATTTAAGATGTTTGAAAAATAGTTTAAAAAAATATAAATGGGTGATAAATAAAACACCATTGCGAGCTGTTATTTAACAATTTTGGAATAAAATATTAACAAATATTTCTTGTGAAATGTGGCGCGGACTAAGAGTTGACATATTTTTGTGGAATGACCCAGATAGGTAAATAAATAAAAAATAGATTATAAGTAATATTAAATATAACTGATTATGCTCTATAAAAAATTACCTCGAAAAATCTAACAGGCAGTCTTTGTCATAGTAAACTGAATATTCTCGAATCCTTCGGATAGTGTCGCCATTGTCAAAGTCAGATTCATAATCGTATTCGTACAGTTTTTCGATAATGCCATCTTTGTCTTTTACAGTCCATATACATTCGCCTGGAAGTCCTTTCAGTTTTGGAGCATCGGACACCAGAGGTGCTAAGCTATTTTCTTCTTGTAAGATTTCTGTTATTCGAGAACTAGCAGAGGGTATTTTTTCGTCGTCCTTGGCACTGTCCGCTTGACTGGGAACCTGCCAAGATGATGTGGTAGCTCCAGATAAACACGATTTTTGTAAAAACTTTTGCACTTCAGCACTTACGTCATTATTTAGTAAGTTATCTTTAGGCCGTACAATAAAACGGCTACAATATACTTTCAGGTCATTGTTTTTTGACTGATATACCTGGTTTATGACTGACATTAGATCCTTTTCTGCATCATCCTTTTCTTTCAATAGCTTTCTTATTCGAGCTTTTAAAAACATATTTTCTTGATGGGTGACCAAATACAAATGTTGGAAACTAACGTATCGTGACCTGTTTTCTTTAATTTTTTTCTGTGTATCCTCTATATGTCTCACCAGCCTATTCTTTGCCATGCTTTCTAATTGATATTGCATTCGGATATTTTTGTTTTCATGAATGGCCGCAATCAAAAGTTGGCCCAACTTTCTTCGCTCTTCAGCGATTTCTTTCAACTTCTTAAGTAAAATAAAGTTTAACTTCTTATGTTTCTCTACAACACTAGTTTTAAGTCCACGTTTAACCAATTTTAATTTAGAGATAGTTTTTATAGTGATTACCCACAAAGTGGCAAATATTTTTTCTATGGCAATGTAAAGTAAAATGGCGGTTTTTTTCAAATTATTCACAGCAATATTTACAGCTGCATTGAAATCGAGTTTTGCTATAGTATTCTTGGTGTACGATATAATTTCGCTTTTCTTGTTGAATACAGATACTGCAATCGCTCCCGCGAAAAACATCGCGTAGTGCAAGGCAGCCGTATCTGGCTGGTACTTTTGCCCATACAATTCTTTTTCTACATGTATTTTTGATTCTTGCTCCATTTGTAATGTTATATTTTGATAAGTCCATTCGTAGGATTCCATTCTTGAACCTGTAATGAACACTTCTGTAGTTTTATTTCTGTTCCCATCCACAATCTTTATTTTTATGAGAGCAATACAAAGTACATACATAAGACTTTGTTACACTTACCGTTTTTATGATTTTTCTTAGTTTTCTTTACACATACATCAATAACACACATGGCCAACCACATGGCCAAGGCCAACCCAGTCAGCCATTTAAAGGCAATATACATTTTATAAAATCAATTGTTTCTTACAAGAAATATTTACGCCACATTTAAATAGACTTATGTTGTGCAGGGAATGAGTAACATGAATTTATTTATTTCTATCTAAACCATATTTTGCTTCAGAAAAACCGTGACACAAGATGACATTTCCATAGAATGCTCCTTTTTTAATTTTTTTATGGCCAGCATTGCCATCATTAAATGTTTGTTTAAAATAGATTTTAATTCAACTCAACATGTTTTGTAATATTTAATAATCTTCCTATAAATTAAATCTATTGATAAGTATTAAGTTAAATGCAAAAATAAAATTAATATGATTTACTTTGAATCTTTTATTCTAAATAATTTCCTAATTTTAATTTGTAATGCTAATCCTAACAAGGTTATATTTTTTTTGTACCATTCTTTATTATATGACAAATGTGCCTTCCAATTTTTGTCCAGGAAAGCTTTGTAGAAGACGCTCATTTCATCAGCTGTTAAATTCTGTTTGCCTTCTGGTAAATTGTTTTTCAGATATTCTTCTCTTTCCTGTAAATGAAAAAAGTCTTACTATGTCATCACTGCAGGACACAGTTTATCCCAGTTGTAGATGGTGAAGAAAATCATCAATATAAAAGACATTATTCTAAAACCAACCTGGAAAAATCTAGTGTTGTGTTGCGTCCAAAACTTATGATTCCAACTTTGCACTTCAGTTCGTAGCTCCCTGTACTGCTTTTCTAGTGGGGTTTCATTGGACGGCTCTTTAAATATAATTTTCCGTAAGTTTGAAACAGGATCAGGTGGTCCTACCATGTCACTGGTAATCTTCTTTGGATTTGGAGTTTGTATCGACTTTGAATCGGGCGCTGTGGTGATTTGGTTTGACAATATAGTGACATAACTTCTAGGCCTGCAGGCCGTCGGTATTCGACTTAAAATCATAGTTATTTAACGATTAATGCATTGTTTTACAAACGGCGGAACTGACTTCCTTCTTGTGTTATCACAAAGTATTCCACACAATGAAAAATAGTGTACAAATTCTACGAAATTCAACTAAAACTTCTCGTTCTCCTGCTCGTAATCTTGACCTTTAAACGTCAATGTCAAAAACAGCTGTAAACCACGGACAATATTCGTTTTTTTCCAAACTCATCGAGCACCAGAAATTGTATGATATACAGCTGATAACAACAAGTGTAAGTTCATAAGTGTTTCAAAGAGTGCTTTGGAACGCCTACGTCGTATGTCAACGTCAGTGTCAAACTCGATCGAAATCGAAATTTTCTTTACTGCCGAATTATGTAAACGTGCGTGAGATACTGGAAAAACTGTTTTCGAACATTAAATTACATTGCTAACGTTAAATCGAGGGATTCATTTTTGTCTAAAACGAGTGTTTATAGTTAACAAACAACAAAATGGCCAGAGGAAAGAAAGAAGATGCTGAAGATGAGTATTCAGCCAAACTGGACATGTGTCTCACTGACGGGATCGTGAAGACCGGTAATATTTTGTTGTTAACTCCTCAACTTCCTTGAATTTCATTTAAATCCTTCTACTACAGTAAACCAATTCACACTATGCAGCTTCGCAACCAAAGCAGTTTATTATAAATACCACGAATCTCGTGTTGTTTTTCCACTGCAGTTTAAGATCTGTGTCATACAAATACTATATGGTGTGTAATGTTGCCTGTAAAGCATAAGTTTTAATAGTTAAATAGGTATTTTCAAGCTTTAAGTTTGGATTACAAAAGTATAGTAACCTATTCACTATGAATTTCTGTGAGAAGTAACTGGTTTTGGGATGATTTCCAATAAATAAGCTCAATAATTTAGTATTTGAAGTGATATTGTTTTGAGTTTATTTAGATTGTGTAAATAAGGAATTTTGAGTTCATATTATGTTACTTATGAAGAAATTTTTCTTTTTCCAGGTGGTGGAGTGTTACTAGGGGCATTGACTTCAGTGCTATTCCTTAGACGGCGGAGATGGCCAGTCATAGCCGGTATGGGTATGGGAATAGGCCTAGCATATGCCAACTGCGAGTATGAACTCAACCCAAAGAAGAAGAGTACGGCATAAGATCAGTTTTACTTCTAGGGTCTACAATAATCAGGTGTGAATATTTGAGTACAAATGAGATAATATCTATTAAGTATTATAGTATAACTTATTGATTTATACTTAATATGGAACATGAATTTAATTGTCTTGCATATCTTTTTTTACCCTTGTATTCTCTTATTTTCAGATATGTAAGGGCTTCTGGAAAGTTATGTCAATCAAGTTAGATCAACTTCGCATTTAAGCGACACTTGTTAACATAAACAGGTCCTGTAGACATTTTGTTAGAAAATATTGTAATTTTGTTCATGTACAAATGATTATCTAATTATAATAAATGTCTTTTATTTATTTCAAACAAGGGATTTTACTTGATCCTTCTAAGAAAACACAAATTGTAAAGAACAATATTTAATAATTTATTGTACAAATTGATACTGGAATAAAGATAAAGGATAGATTTAGTGTTTCTTAATCATAAAATAATTTAAATACATTTGTCATAATAATAATAATCACGTTTAGTAAGAATAGACAAAGCTTCACCAACATCCCATATACAGACACCTAACATGGTGGAAAATTTAAAAAATGGCAACACTGGTTATAGAGCATATAACATTATGGCAACTCTATTCATATTGGAGAAATCACAAGCACTCCTTATAACAATTTCCATATTTTCAGAACTCTCCATTCCTCTCCCATAGCTATAGGAGGATGCTGCTTTTGAGGTACTACTACAGCATTAGATACTTACAGAAACTGCTTTAGGGAGTAGCCCATGCTAAACTGTAAATGTATTAAACATTTATTTTAATCAACAAGCAACAACAAGTTCCATTAAACCACAAACAATACAATGTTGATAAAATATTTACTAAACACTTGGTATTACAATATACAACACAAAATGTCTTTTTATACATAATCAAATGATTTCATTAAAAATGCATTTTGTTTCATTCAAATTAATTAATAAGACAATATCTACAATACAGCCAACATTAATTTGAAAACCAGTATAGGGAAACCTTGATAACCATAAATAGATTTAACCATCAGTCAAAGTCCTTCACAAACCAAACCAATACCAACATTGTAACTATAATATTTTGTGACTACCCGCCATCGACCATTGCCTATCGCAAATACTTATCCCACTAAATTTACTATATTTGGTAAAAAAAATTGACTAGCACAAAATACCCGAACCTCTCCCACAATAGTAGTAAGAACAGATAACTACACTCACTACAGTATAACTATGAAAGAGTGTGAAAGTGATATAAATTGTAGGTAATTTTTAAGAGTAATAATTATGTTACAGGTTTGAGTAAAGTATTATAAAAGGTGAACACAGACACAATGTATAACTGAGACTCGAAAAGGTTGGGCTGCCTTGAAACAGAAGCCGCACTGATACACAAAAGCATTATTAGGAAATTACGACAGCATTAAATACCTATTGGTCACTCGTGCTGCCTTCATTTCCAAAATGCTTTATCAAACAATATAAATTATACTAATCAAATACTATGTCTCTTTCTAATTTGTATTGAGACTGTAAATTTCGGACAAAAAAAGAGGCACTAATTAATTTTATATTTTAAAAATCCTTATCAATACGCGTCACAGTATACTGTAAAGCGGGGCCTATTATAATCTAAAAGATATAAACGTGTAAAATGGCAACTATGTATCTTGACACTGTAGTATAGAAAGAAGTGTTTGAGACCGCGATAGAAACAAGAGACCGCGAACGTCTGAGCGAGACAGAGGCATAAACATAGGTTTATGTCTCTGTCTTAGACAGGAGACCACGACCGTTACTTGACCTATATCAAGTAACGGTCGTGGTCTCCTGTCTCGGTCGCTTTATCTCTGTCACAGCGCGAACGTCATCATCAAATACTTGATTTATTGAACTGTCAAAACCCCGAATATCAAGATTGTATTTGGAAAATGTAGTGTCAAGATTCACATCTGCGCTAGCGCATATTGTCGATATCAAGGAAGTGCTGTGTGACATAATACTGTCCTTATTTCATTACTTCTATTTGTGACACTTTGTGAATATGGCAAATTTACAGCTAATATTTTTTTTACAAAAGTGTAAGTATTTACCCTTACTGCGAAAATGGCAGATTCTGTAAACGTATGAATGAATAATAATAAATAAATAAATAAATAATAAAAAATGTATTTATTGCCTTCGAACAATGAACCACATAATTAATTCCCTTAGGGGACTCCCCTACCATTTGCTAGTGAGGCAGAAATGGGGGACATTAAGAATACGCCCATGATCGCATCTGAAAAATGTTATTCCCATGCACGTCATCTGCTGAGTTAATCCCAACGTTATCCAAAGCGTGGAATGTTTCCATCCCTTACACGCAAGGCGAGAAGCCAGCATGAGCGACGGCAACAGACAGAATAGGAAAACTAAATCAATTGAATGACTCAGTGGCCCCTGTACAACATCTGTGATTTTCAGAACCTGCCATTTTCAGAATAAAGAAATTGTTTTTATGCTTCTCGACCACAATATCTAGAGTTCATATACCTACTTTTTATTTATTTAGAATTACGCTAAACATGCCGCATCGTGTCTGTCATCTATAACAACAACATCGAGACCCTGCCTTACTATTGTGGTCGAATAGCACGTCAAGAAAGGCATGAACCATTGACATTACAATAGCATTGGTTCACATCAATCTGCATTAATTTATCGACAAATCCTCATCTCGCCTAAAATTTTGCTATGTTTAATACTACGCAGTGAAGTTTCTCGGAGAGACAAATCACTTTCATTATGAATTTAATAAATAATGCAACATCCCCGTCACTGTCCAACAAGCCCTAGATAATAACAAATCGATTAACTTATCCTTTTCACTATAATAAGAACACAATTTTTATAGTTATATGATTTTAACGAACTCCACTCTAAATATAAGATAATGTAAATAAAATTAGCATTCTAGATTTTAGTACTTAGAGCATTATTTACACCCCACTGAAAAACGGTCATCCAACTTATTAAAAACACAAGTTTTTAAAAGAGGTAGTCAAGAAATATGGGAAAATTCATGGACCTATAAAAAAAGTCGGACGGATTCTCATCAACAAAATACTGTGACATTAGGATACACCAGCTTGCCTGTACGTACAGGCCGGCACGCACACATTCACACCCTGACGCACCACTTCGAGTGCAAACTTCACACAGTTGACACATTTAGGCGGCGAAAAAACAACACGAATACGACATGTCTTGTGTGATGAAATTGTGTGAAAACCGTTCTGTTCGAACAAATAAAAATTAAGGAATCACATTTCACAGGTAAAATAATAATCCAATGACTTATTTCCCGACATTAAAATATTGAAATTAATTGAAATCAAACGTCATTCACTCGAAAAAATAATACGTCAAAGACCAGTGTTCTCAGTTATTTACGTGGGAAAATTACCCGAAATATGGGAAATTAATAATAATTTTAGGACTTTTTAGTTATTTATTACGCATTACTATAGAAAATTTATCATAATAATTGTGTTTTAATGGGATATATTTTCATAGGCAGATTTGATCCTTCCCAAAAATGTGGAACTGCGAAATTCAAATTTTCTTACATTGATTGCAAGTCAGTGTCAGGTTGTATGTTAAAATCTATCAGAGATAATAATAATTATATTGATGATGCATAAGAATGATTATAATGTACACAAGATTCGTAATTTGTAACTGCGTGAATCATTTTTGATCAACATTATGTACATACCCTGACACTGACTTGCAAACAATGTAAGAAAATTTGAACATTGAAAATTTCGCGCCTACCTCAACGCATTTACCTTTCATCCTTTTCAAATTCTGTCTACATTTCCAAGTAACATCTGCCGATCTATGTTTTTCTTAAAATAAATGGGTAAAATGTTTTGGCTAACATGGCATCCCTAAATTCACTCACACAATAGACAAACGCCAAAATTTTGCGTCACAGTTTTGTTGTAGCGCGAGTTCCGTCCGCCTTTTTTTATAGGTCCATGGGAAAATTATATTCTGAGACAATGTCCACTGTGACACTGTCCACAGTGTTATAAGGAATTGAAAAAACTTGGCAAGTAATGACGGCAATTTCATATTGAAAAAGGAAACATTTCTTAGAATGTTGACTCGACGTTATCTACGCCCTTCCCACGTTTCAATATGGCACTCGTCGTCACGGTCATGCACAGGAGCTTGGCACGGAGCTCAAAGCAGGACGTAAAGCTGGTTTGTCAAATATGTCAGATTTGTCAGATAAGTTACGCTGCGGTTGCAGCGCACAAACCAATGCGAAATGTTTATGAACTTTACGATCTTGTTTTGTTTCACGCCTCGTGGCACGCTCAGCTTATAAAGAGGACGACACATCGCTGGAATCTTATTACATTCGTAATAAGTGCTATTTTCCAGCAAAAATAATGTGCCGTCGCTGCACATGAACGCGCACTAACTTTCATAAGTCTTAAAAACAATTATAAAATACAACAGACGCCTTAATAACGAACAAGAGACACACGAAAACAATGGATTTCTTAAGACGTAAACTGGGCAGTACAATGCTTGATAACGAGTGAAATAAAGATTCAGAACCTTTTAACTAATTACAATTCAATTTAGACCCATAAATGAAGGATAATACTACGATAATACAAAAGATCTAATTCTCGTTATTTACAAACTCTTAGCCTAAGTTGCACTTTAACTTTAACCGTAACTATTACCGGTGTTTTTGTATGAAGTTTGACAGATTTTTGACGTTTGTGGTGCAACCCAAGGTTAATTTGGAACACATACAAACGGACAGCACAAAAATAACTATCCAGTTTTCCATAGACATATTGGCATAGCGTTTCGCTTGCACTCAGATATCGTTCACGTAAACGAAAAGTAATATTCTGCCGCAAATGCCACTAGCCCGATATCCAGGTTCAAGAGAAACGCGTTCAATTAGGTTAGGTTTTAATTAAACTTATTCGAAACTGCTGTCGAATAGAAAGATTTAGCAACGCGAAGTAGAAGAGTAAATGGGCGTACGATAGTACTTATTAGGCAACTACAGCTTTTCATTGCAGCTAGTAAATGGCCTGCATTCATATTCGTATAATTTGACTACCCACCGAGTCCACAAGTTATTTGATAGATCTGAAAAAATTTGCTGAGTGAACCTTTTGCAATCAAAACGTTATTTTTACGTTGACCATATCCCACTACAATACTGATGTCCCTCTAACTACGTTAAAATTATAACAACAAACCTATTTTGGGTCCAAATCGAATCGCCAACCGTCTTCTCCTGCGAGCGAGAGTGACCGTGCGTTGATGCGCACGCGCTCATTTGGTCGTCATGTCGGGCCAGTAGTTGACGTAGTAGCGGTGTGTGCTGCCCTCGAATAAGCGGTCCAGCCAGTTCTCCAGCCCGTCTAGAAGGTTCTCTGTGAAAGGAGACGTTTGGTTGGATGAGTAAAAGTTAGATATCATTTGAATTAAGTGTGACATTTTAATGTGAAGGTTAATTACAGAAAATGCAATGTGATGAAATCCGAACACACTTTCCCACCACTGCAACTCCTGTATACCCAAGATTTACAGCTTGGCCTCCAATGAAACCCAACCAGTGAATGTTGAGTAGTCGTAATTATATTTCTGTCGCGCTCGCACACTCACTGCGGCCGCCGCGCCCGTCCCGTTGACGGTCGCGACAGCAAGCAAATTACGCGCGAGTGATAAAGATGGGTAACTTGGGGTCATTGGACGAAATTCTACGTGCTCGGCGACCGGACTTCATCTATCTTGGAACCCGTTCGTTAGCTAGCGGCTCACCTTGCAGCAGCACGGGCGGGTCGGGCGCCTCGTCGCAGGAGGAGGAGTCGGGCTCGGTGTGGAAGCCGATGAAGGCGCCGGCCTCGGGGTCCTCGCAGCCGCCGCCCAGCGACCGCGTCATGCGGGACATGCGCTGCAACAACCATTATCAATTTATCAATGAAACAAGATCGAACAATCTAATGAAATGGTTAAACTACTAATGCCCGTTTTNAGGTATTACCTAATATATTTAAAGGTCGCTTTAAAATTAGGGATTGATGGTGAAAACGGGCATAAGAATCTTTCAGCGCACGGTCATGCCGCTGCGACCAGCTATTTCTTCCGTGGTATGGTGTAAGTGCACGCACTACGCGACCTGGCCGTCTAATGCTCAGGGGCACTTTAATGTACAGTCACGGAATGAAAAGGTTCGTCAGTTTTCAGATTGATTCCTTCAACGAATCGCGAGCACATATTACCTTTTGAAACTATGTTACAGAATAATCTCGAGTTAGAGAAAATAATCTTTAACTGTTCGTCAGTAGCATCGACCGCGACCTACGTGCTAGCCGACTGGCTCATGAACTCTCAACGTGCACCGTAGGCACTCTACACCGACGGCACATTGGACTGGACACATTGAATTGTGTAAATCTTGTATATAGCAATAGCATAACAGTAATAAACCAGATATCAACCGTCCGCGTTGTGTTTCATTTACCCCCACTGAGGCCAAGAAAGCCTTAGTGCAGCCCTCCTTCCTATCAAATCTTTATTATATCTAATTATAAGGTATTGTTAGGGCTCTAGGGACTACAAACGAAGCCAGAAATATAGCTTTGTTATGAGATAAGTTATGAGTGACCAAAACCTACTATCTATACCGTATGTAATCCTGTCTCACTCTATAATATTTTTATGTAGCCGCCTGAATAAACTTGAGTGAAAAAGTGTTTCCACTGTCTCAATTGCATAAAAAGCTTCAAAAAAATCATTTCATTCAGTTTCCATTTTGCCGAATAGGCGTGATTGACAATATATAACTGTCACCTAACACTTAGGCGGCCGAAAATCGGGCCCCTGTTTTAAAGTGCTCCCATAAGGCCTAAGGTGTCCCTTATGTGTTGGTGAAAACGAAATTCCTGTTAGGTATTACCTAATATATTTAAAGGTCGCTTTAAAATTAGGGATTGATGGTGAAAACGGGCATAAGAATCTTTCAGCGCACGGTCATGCCGCTGCGACCAGCTATTTCTTCCGTGGTATGGTGTAAGTGCACGCACTACGCGACCTGGCCGTCTAATGCTCAGGGGCACTTTAATGTACAGTCACGGAATGAAAAGGTTCGTCAGTTTTCAGATTGATTCCTTCAACGAATCGCGAGCACATATTACCTTTTGAAACTATGTTACAGAATAATCTCGAGTTAGAGAAAATAATCTTTAACTGTTCGTCAGTAAAGTTCAAAATTATTCAGATCAGTTGTTTGACGATTTATCTTGTCAAGAAGATTATTATGATTGATAAACTAAAACCTTCTTGTTGGTTCAACCTGCCATTATTATTTCTATTAAATAAAAAATAACTATTGTCAATTGGTCAATGTCATCATTGCATTGCACTGATGGGATAGAAAAATAAACAAGCAAAACCTTATTCGTTAGCAAACGTCATATTTATTTAAATGTTAGCAGCACTGTTTCTTGCACTGTTATGTTGGCAGGTTTGACTCTTATAGTACCTAGTGCAAGCGAAAACCGACACTAAGGTGACGAACCTTTTCATTCCGCGACTGTACAACTGGCATAGCCGCGGTGCCCGCGGTGCAAGTTCTGAGATTTTCCATTAATTACATGAGGCTGTAAAGAGACGGGAAGTGGGTTCAGAAAAACAATAACATGGGGTGTAAAATATCACGTGACGTGATTAATGGACGACCCTTATCTGTGGTGATAGTTGATAGTGACTTTAGTCCCAGTCCGCGGTCATATACCGCGGCTCATGGGTTTTGGTTAATTGGCTCATCAGTACTTATTGGCTCAACGATTCAGCAGCCGCTGGAAGGTACCTTGTGCGGCTTGGCGCACTCGGGGTGCTTGGCGTGGTAGATGCTGAAGTGCTTGCGGTGCGGGTTGAGCGCGAGCACGGAGCCGACGCAGTGCGTTGACGCGGGAGGTACCTTGTGCGGCTTGGCGCACTCGGGGTGCTTGGCGTGGTAGATGCTGAAGTGCTTGCGGTGCGGGTTGAGCGCGAGCACGGAGCCGACGCAGTGCGTTGACGCGGGAGGTACCTTGTGCGGCTTGGCGCACTCGGGGTGCTTGGCGTGGTAGATGCTGAAGTGCTTGCGGTGCGGGTTGAGCGCGAGCACGGAGCCGACGCAGTGCGTTGACGCGGGAGGTACCTTGTGCGGCTTGGCGCACTCGGGGTGCTTGGCGTGGTAGATGCTGAAGTGCTTGCGGTGCGGGTTGAGCGCGAGCACGGAGCCGACGCAGTGCGTTGACGCGGGAGGTACCTTGTGCGGCTTGGCGCACTCGGGGTGCTTGGCGTGGTAGATGCTGAAGTGCTTGCGGTGCGGGTTGAGCGCGAGCACGGAGCCGACGCAGTGCGTTGACGCGGGAGGTACCTTGTGCGGCTTGGCGCACTCGGGGTGCTTGGCGTGGTAGATGCTGAAGTGCTTGCGGTGCGGGTTGAGCGCGAGCACGGAGCCGACGCAGTGCGTTGACGCGGGAGGTACCTTGTGCGGCTTGGCGCACTCGGGGTGCTTGGCGTGGTAGATGCTGAAGTGCTTGCGGTGCGGGTTGAGCGCGAGCACGGAGCCGACGCAGTGCGTTGACGCGGGAGGTACCTTGTGCGGCTTGGCGCACTCGGGGTGCTTGGCGTGGTAGATGCTGAAGTGCTTGCGGTGCGGGTTGAGCGCGAGCACGGAGCCGACGCAGTGCGTTGACGCGGGAGGTACCTTGTGCGGCTTGGCGCACTCGGGGTGCTTGGCGTGGTAGATGCTGAAGTGCTTGCGGTGCGGGTTGAGCGCGAGCACGGAGCCGACGCAGTGCGTTGACGCGGGAGGTACCTTGTGCGGCTTGGCGCACTCGGGGTGCTTGGCGTGGTAGATGCTGAAGTGCTTGCGGTGCGGGTTGAGCGCGAGCACGGTGCCGACGCAGTTCCGCGCGTTGACTCGAAGCTCGCCGCCGCCCAGCGACAGCTGTAGTACGCGCCGGAACCACTCGATGTTGCGCTCCACCATCAGGTACGCGAAGAGTAGCGTCTTGTTCCTGAAAACATTTATAAACTTAAGCGCCTACGCAAACTTACGCGGGTGCACAAAGCGCCCGAAGCGCGTGTCAGACGCATGCGCTGCTCACACTATTCTTCGATAGTAATGCGCACAGTGTTTTTTTTTACCCAAAAAAGTGACATTCTGTTTTTATCACTAATATCCAAAGTTTAACTTATTATTAATGTTAGACTAAAACACCCAGGTGACAAATAGCTATAGATTATTTTTAAAAAAATATTTTAAAAAATTTATTTTGTACTGGGTCAAACTACAATTTTATTATTATTTAAAGAAACGTACACACTAAGCTTCTCTTTGCATTGCTGGTAGGTAGGTTGGTGTATGGCGAATATAATTGCACCTATAATTATTTAAAAGTAGTTATAGGAACGACAGTATGATTATTTTTTAAATTTAATAAATTATTATTTTTCTCTTTTTCTACGCCGAAGTAGAATCTCTGCTTAGGTCAGATACATTTCTTAAAATAAGCTCTATCACCTATAATTTTTCTATATTCTAACTCGGCCGCAATTTCGAGAAAAAGTATTTTTTCCAAAATGTTAGGATTGTCACAAAAAATGACCTTACGTAGTTCCACTTTCTTTAGGGTTCCGTGGCCAAAAAAAACACTGTGATGCGGTCGCCTGCGCGAGTTGTAGGCCCTAACTCTTTTTAAAGAGACTGGAATGTGCTTGCGCACCGTCTCAGCGGCTCCCTGTACAAAGGGCTGCAAGGGACGCTAAAACTTGCGCGGACGCACGCAGCGGGTGCCTGCACCGGTCGTCTGACGCGGGACCACGCACACTCGTGGCGTGCGGTCGGCCACCTGCCTCGCGCCTGTAGGATCCCGTGTCAAGCGTCCACGCCACACTGCGCTATTCTTGATTCAAACACTAGCGTAGCGTAGGCACTGAGACTCGTCTTATTTAATATACCCACCCTACCCACTAAACTCTCCACCGTGTATAAAAAAACATATTAGTTGCGGGCATCGTAGTTGTCGCACGTCGTTTATCTACTATATAAAAATAAGTCGGGTTTTCCTCCCTGACGCTATAACTCCAGAACGTACGAACCGATTTCCACGGTTTTGCATTCGTTGGAAAGGTCTCGGGCTCCGTGAGGTTTATTGCAAAGAAAATTCAGGAAAATTTAACAAACGAAATTCCACGCGGGCGAAGCCGCGGCCGGAAAGCTAGTGTATACTAAAAGCTGGATATTCATGTAAAGATAGACAATGTAAGCCAGTTAAATTGGAATTGCTTTTATTGACTTCAAAAACTAATCATTCCTATTTCTGTAGGGTAAATAACGACACAAGACACTTTAGCTAGCCACTTACTTGCGATACGGCCACACGATCTTGTGGAACTTGGATAGCAACTGCACCCGGCTTTGCATGTCCACCAGTAGTACTATTGTCCGGCAGCCCGGTTTTAACAACCTGCAACAAATTTTATGAGTACTACAACAAACAAACTCTTATTAAGAACGAAAAAGTCGCCATCAATGTTCGCAAACAACTATGAAATGAGTAGGCGCATATAAAACAGGCCACGCCCATATAAAAACATGCCACGCCCATATCTGACTAGATATTCGAAGTTAGATTATTAGAAAACACAAAACAGTGTCGCAGGCTTGCCTTAATTTCACTGATACATAATTTAGTATACCTGACTAATCCATTGTATTTCTCGGCCCTGAGTTCGTGGAGCCGCATCTCGGGCTGCGGTTCGTTGTTGTTCTTCTTGAGGCCATTTTGTTTCTTCCTCTCGTCCTTGTTACGCTGCACCGATTCTTCTTCGACACGACTAGAAAGAATACAAAAATAATCAGATTATATGAAGGTCCATAGTGAAAATGTTTATGAGTATGGCTAAAATGCAAAGTGTTCTTTTTCTGAACTCTTGAAAAATTAGCTGACATTAGTGACCGAGTTTCTTGCGCTACTTTTTCTCAGCACTTTCCCATTTATTGTCCCGAAGCAGTGGTAGGGTTAACACTGGGACGTGTAAAAGTACTTCTTATAAGCCTACTTGCAAATTAAATGAGTTTTTATGAGTTTTCTCATTTCCATATTTTTTTGCACAAAATAGTGGCCATCAGCGAGCCCGGTTCGCTCTCAAACATCAACATGCACTTCATCATCATCATCATTTCAGCCATAGGACGTCCATTGCTGAACATAGGCCTCCCCCAATCAGTAGCGGCGTAAGGGGGGGGGGGGGCGGTGGGGGCGGTCCGCCCCGGGTGCCAAGCATCAGGGGGTGACACAAGTCGCGCAGATTAGTACTCACTGGCGCATCTGCATGGCAAATCTGTGGTCTATGTCATGATACAGGGGGGTGCGATTGTCTTTCAATCTTTGAATAGGTAGGTAACCTCAAAATCCTGGGGGGTACCAGGGGGTGCCTTAGGACTTATGACGGGGGGGGGGGGGGTGATCGCCCCGGGTGCCAACCCGTGCTACGCCGCCACTGCCCCCAATGCTTTCCATGTTGATCAATTGGTAGCGGCCTGCGTTCCAATGCTTCCCTGCTACCTGCACTTACTTGGAGTTGATGACCCTCTGCGCTCACCTATCGCCCAATAAAGCCGCCTACTGCTACCGAAAAATAGCCCATACTTCCTGTAAACTCATAAATGAGATAGGCTATAGCTCATAGATTATGAGGTACACAGGAGCACTCACATGAGGTACGCCATGAGGTACCCGGCGGCGAGCACGAGAGCGACGGTGGCGAGCACGGACAGCGCGGACAGCGCGTGGTGCGAGCGCAGCGCGAGCAGCGAGCGCTCCGCCCACTCGCACATGCGCGCTGCGAACGCGCCCAGAGCGCTTCTACCCGCTTCGTCTACGAGTTCCTGCAGATTTTTATACTAGTAATAAGCAAAATTAAACAATAACACACGGTTCGGCGGGCGGAGAGTCTGGAGGCCTGAAATACAGGAATTTCCTAGTTTAGGCTCCAGTCCTCTCCAATATTATGTGTTTACTTACCTTATTTTAAACATAACAATTCTCAACTTCATTATGTAATGTAATATCCCACCAAAAACATTCTGTAAAAAACTAGCCAAGTCTCGATGGAGCTGCTTGTTTATCTCTAAAAAGTAATGAAATCTAGACAAAGTCGTGCCAAGTCTATGGTTCCTTACTGCGATTTCTTTATTATTATAGTTAATGTTGTGTGACTTGGCCGTTGAACAATCTTTATTAAGATAATCATACAATAAGTATTATTGAAATACGCAGCTTTATTAAGCCTACAATTGACTGGTTATTGAATCAACGTTTTCCAAGTGGCAATTTTCCATCGCCAATGGGTAGCGGTTCTGGCGACAGATTGGTGCAATGGTGTCATGGATTACCTGGTTTTGTACCCTTCAACGGCCAAGTCACACAACATTAACTATAATAATAAAGAAATCGCAGTAAGGAACCATAGACTTGGCACGACTTTGTCTAGATTTCATTACTTTTTAGAGATAAACAAGCAGCTCCATCGAGACTTGGCTAGTTTTTTACAGAATGTTTTTGGTGGGATATTACATTACATAATGAAGTTGAGAATTGTTATGTTTAAAATAAGGTAAGTAAACACATAATATTGGAGAGGACTGGAGCCTAAACTAGGAAATTCCTGTATTTCAGGCCTCCAGACTCTCCGCCCGCCGAACCGTGTGTTATTGTTTAATTTTGCTTATTACTAGTATAAAAATCTGCAGGAACTCGTAGACGAAGCGGGTAGAAGCGCTCTGGGCGCGTTCGCAGCGCGCATGTGCGAGTGGGCGGAGCGCTCGCTGCTCGCGCTGCGCTCGCACCACGCGCTGTCCGCGCTGTCCGTGCTCGCCACCGTCGCTCTCGTGCTCGCCGCCGGGTACCTCATGGCGTACCTCATGTGAGTGCTCCTGTGTACCTCATAATCTATGAGCTATAGCCTATCTCATTTATGAGTTTACAGGAAGTATGGGCTATTTTTCGGTAGCAGTAGGCGGCTTTATTGGGCGATAGGTGAGCGCAGAGGGTCATCAACTCCAAGTAAGTGCAGGTAGCAGGGAAGCATTGGAACGCAGGCNCGCTTAACTTCGGAACTAAATGACCAACAGACTTGAAATTTTGGATTTTAAGTACGTGATTATAGCTTACTAGATGACGAAAATTTCTGCGTTCTGGTCTTATAGGTTCTCAAATAGGGGCCTGAAAATGCGGCGAAATGGTTCCAGTAAAGGATGGTACGGCAGTGTTTGCTTCGCGCTCGACTTGGCGGGGGCACTGCCGTGCCCCCAGATAGTGAACATGTAATGTTGTGGTGGAAATAAAGAATTTATTTAATTTAATTTAATTAAAAATATGTCACAGTCATAAATAACCTGAAAGATAATCAACATCACGCTTAGTGCGAGTTTCCATCAAACGTCTTCGCTAGCCACTGCATTAAATGTATGAAGGGATTGTACAGCGTCCTGCTATACAAAAAAATCTATGAAGATTTTAGTTCTTTTAGCGGATGAAAGTACTCGATATCGAATACGTTTCATGTAAACTCAAACTGACCCCCCAGATTTCCACATGTGACGTCAATATACATGGATTCATTTTAAATAGTTTTCTCATTCATGTTGTATTAATTTTGAGTTCCGATATCAGTAATTTCAGATACTATTTTCGATGTAGTCAGAAAGCTATTCGATAGAAGACATTCTTACCTGAACATGTGCTTCGTACGCCAGCACTTCTGTGGGTTTTAGAAGTCTCTTTATAAGTTGCTCCAGCGCTCGCTTCGTCTCGTTTAGACGCTCTTGATACTGTATTACTTCTTCCCTATAAAACAAAAATTGAACTGTAACTTGACTAAACAAGGTTTCCACATCACGGCACGGTCGTTTGCAATACACTCTTGAGGACTGCAATTTGTTAAAAAAAAACATAAGCAAGTACCTACTCCCAACTCCTGAATTTGGTACCAGGGAACAAAGAAGGGAGAATTTAGTAGTGTTGACGCCCCTAAACTAGAATGAAGTCAATGACTTCTATGACTTCTGTTGACTTCAAACGAACCTGTGCGCGGGATCGGCGGGATATTCCTCCGTGCAGTGCGTGTGCGCACAAACGGGCCACGTCTCGTTAAGCCACTCGTACTGAATGCGCGTGGGCTCGCGGCGCCATATGATCACGATGCGGTGCTCCATCTGAGACGCGTCGCCACCTAGACAAGTAAAATGTAATCAGGTGGCCACTTATTGTGAAAGATTTTTAGCATTAGTAGTGTGACTTTTTTATGGACCGAAGCCAGGACGAGAGTTTAGTGTGTTGTACTAAGTAGTTGTGGGTAGATGTTAAGTAAAACTCGGATGCCGTAATAAGACTGAGATATTTATTTCCAAAACCAGGGTTCTTATATTATCAAAAATGTATTCCAATTAGTGGGTCGTCAAAATAAAACTGCGAACGCATCGCATAGCTCGCTAGTGTAGGTAGGCCGCTGCAGCTGAAATCTACGCCACATAAATACGGCGCGTGCCCGTTGTCTCGCTCAGTGCACGGCGAGGACTCGTACGGAATGGTCACGCCGCTGCTCTTGCGCATGTGACGTCACCCATCGCCGGCGCACGTAAATACCGCGCGCAGCCGCCGCTCGCGCCAGTCAGTCTCAGGCGCGCGGCGCGTGCGGTCAAGCGGTGGAGCAATATTGATGATGCGATGACGTATGAGCTAGGTGGCTACATCACTCCCCCCTCAGCGAAGCGTACGGGAGGCTTCGATGTTCTTCCTGTTCTTGTGACGTAGGTGTGCAAGTTGTTTGAGTGCTTGAGTGCTTCAGCGCCTTCTGCTTCCGTGTTTATGATGAATGCTGGTTTCAGTCTTTCAATTGAGATGTTCGTGCGTCTGAGTGGCATTTGAATGGCGAAGTATTTGTCGTTGCGATCGATGACTTTGAAAGGTCCGGTGTAACTTGGTGTGAGTGGCTTGCGTACGGCATCGTTCCTTACAAATACGTGGGTACATATATGTAGATCTTTATGCACGAACGTAGGCCTCGACGACGATCTTTGTTTTTGCGCTTTGTGCATAGCTTCTGTGAGGTCGTTATGAAATTGTGACGATGTGAATGACGTCACCGGTTCACCGTAGAATTCACCGGGTAGACGAAGTGCTTGATTGTACAGTAGTTCGGCTGCGCTGTGTCCGATGTCTTCTTTTATCGCTGCTCGCAATCCCAGTAGGACGGTAGGTAGCTCGCGTGTCCAAGTCGTGTTGTTTTGAAGGCGAGCTGTTAGTGCAGTTTTCAGCTTTCTGTGCCAGCGTTCGATGATGCCATTCGTTTGAGGACGATAAGCGGTAGTGCGTGTGCGATGAATTCCTAGGCGTTGTGTTAGGAATTTGAATATTTCTGATTCAAATTGCCTGCCTTGGTCTGTAGTTATTATCGCTGGGCAACCGAATCTTGATATCCAGGCTTGATAAAACGTGTCGGCGACTTTTTCAGCAGTGATGTTTAGTTGAAGTTTCACAGGTGATAGGTATTGAAGTGCCGGGCATGATTATTGTCTTGAACTCGTGCTTCTTGTCTTCTAATATTTTTTGTAGTTCTTCGTCTTCGTTCTGTTGTTTAGACAGTGATGAATAATCAATCGATGAAGGACATGTTATTTCATCAATTCTTGACAGGGCGTCGGCGACTTCGTTGTCTTTGCCGGCGACATGACGAATATCGGAGGTAAATTGACCGATGTACTCTAGGTATCGAGTCCGCCGCGGTGTTTCATTTTTGCTGTTTGCAGTCAATGCGTATGTTAGCGGTTTGTGGTCGGTGTATATTATGAGTTCTTGCCCTTCAAACATGTGTCGAAAATGCCGGATTGCCATGTAGATTGATAACATCTCTCGATCATAGGTGCTGTATTTCTGCTGGGCGTCGCTGAATTTTTTTGAAAAAAATCCGAGCGGTTTCCATCTACCCTCTATTTTCTGTTGTAAAACAGCTCCAGCGCAGGTATCGGAGGCGTCGGTCATCAGGGCGAAAGGAGCGACTGTCGACGGATGCGAGAGCAGGATGGCATTAGTGATGTCTCGCTTGCACTCTTCGAAGGCTTGTAATGCTGCGTTGTCCCAATCAATTCTTGTTTTATCGTTTCTTTTTGAGTTGTGCATGTATTTGTTCAATGCATTTTGATGTTGAGCGGCGTTTGGAATGTTTTCACGGTAGAAGTTAATCATTCCTAGGAATCGCCTGAGTTCGTGAATTGTAGTCGGTTGCGGGTAGTTTTCGATAACTTTCACCTTCTCGTTTGTTGGCTTGATACCTTCAGAAGAAACATTGTATCCCAGGAATTCTATGTTTTCTTGGCCGAAAATGCATTTGGCGGCATTAATCTGTAGGCCATTTTTTTCTAGTCTGGTGAATACTTCTTCTAGTAATAACTTGTAATGTGTGAAATCTCGTCCTCCGTAACGCAGAGTATGTCATCAACAAACGAGAACACAGGTAGGCCTCGCATGATGTCATCGATGTGTCGTTGAAACGTTTGGCCAGAGTTTCTCAAACCGAAGCACATTCTTGTGAATTCGAATAGGCCAAACGGTGTGATGATGGCGGTCTTCTTAATATCCTCTTCACGGATTTTAATTTGGAAGTAGGCCTTTTGCAGGTCTATTTTAGAAAATATCTTCTTGCCTTGCAGGTTGAAGGTGAAATCGTGAAGTCTTGGTATCGGATATCGGTCTGGAATCGTTACAGCGTTGAGTCTTCTGTAATCACCACAGGGACGGTATTGGCCATCTTTCTTCGGTACCAGGTGAAGTGGGCTTGCCCATGGGCTGCTGGAAGGTCTGCAGATGCCCTGATTCATCATTTGACGAAATTCTTCTTTAGCTACGTTATACAGTGTGAGTCACGTTAAAGTGTACATATGAAAATAGATGAAACTAGACCTATTTTTATCGACAAAAAAGAGGTCAAAAAATTTTAGAGATTTTTTTTTTAATTTTTTATAGAATTTTTTTTCTTCCAATTACTTATTGTAAAGAAAACGTAATAACTTTTAAACTAAGCGGTACATCCTGATAAAATAAAAACAGTAATAATGCTAAATAACAGGCGATACTGGAAAAATACATAAAATACCCAGAAAATGCCAACAAATAATAAAAAATGATACTTTTTGAAAAAAATCTGCTTAAAAATTCGTACTTATTTGGTTATTNGAGAGCGTCTTCAAGGCCTCATGAATGTTGAAAGTCACGTAGAACCTATTCTTAGGCGATTTAAAGCTTATTCTAAAGGTCTAGAAAATTCCCAAAGGTTCTGTGCACTTATTTTCGTGACTTTAATATTGCTGATGGGGTTATTACCCGTCTCGCTAAGCGCAACAAACAGTTGTTGCTCGCCTCATTTCCCACTATACAGTGTGTTTGGGATAGGGCTAGCGATAATTTAAGGCGATGTTATTATGTCAAACTGACTTTTTTGACAAAAACTAAAATTCATTATTTTTTAAAAGTTTTTTGGTCATTATTTTTCATTTTTTTTAATGACACATTATTGGCTTACAAATGCAATTTTTTATTTATCATTACAAACAATTTTTATGTAGTCAAATAAAAAATCAATCCCCCCCCCCCCTTTCCAAGAGGAGGGGTTGGGCCTACATATGGGGCACTTTTGTCGATAAAATTGACATCACAACATCGCCTTAAATTATCGCTAGCCCTATCTCAAGCACACTGTATAATGGCGTCTAGTCTGCACAACACTATTCGCAAGGCAGAGTGAAACTGATGTTTCTGGCTTGGACTTTAGGGAACTGTTAGTGAAATTGAAGAGCAGATAAAAACCATTTTTTCCTTAGGACAATAACAGGTTAGTGTATGAGTACGCGTTTAACTCATGTATTATAAAAATTCATACCTAATAAAAACATAGTACCTTATAAATATTCCTTAGAAGAAAATATTAAAAATGACTTTCGATGAAGTAATTGCTTGCTTCTAAAATATTATTATGGTAACGACGGACAACTACGGAACCCTACACTGACAATTTTTTTTAGAAATGTGTTATTATAATAAAATGTGTACTAAACCTTAACCTGAATGAATATCCTACTAATATCCTATCCTACTAATATTATAAATGCGAAAGTTTGGATGTCAGGATGTCTGGATGTTTGTTACTCTTTCACGCAAAAACTACTGAACGGATATTGATGAAACTTTACAGCATTATTGTTTATAGCCCAGAATAACATATAGACTATAATTTACGACGATCTGTGACAAACTAGATTTCACGCGGGTGAAGCCGCGGGCAAAAGCTAGTAGTTTATAATTAAGTAAACCTCTGAATCTACTCGCCAATAGAAAATGGAGCCACATTCCTTGGATGGCAATATTTTAACCACCGTTCGATATAAATGTTGTAGGGACAGCCGCTCTAGTAAACAATTATGACGTAGTTAAAATAATAAAATATCTTTTGATATTTTACTGCCATTTAATCATAAATTACGAGTAAGAACGATGTTATATTGAGTACCAGATTCCAGATAAATCTACCTAAGGATGACTTGCATACTTTTTGTAACCATACTCTTATAAACATCGAACTTACTCGTAGGTACTCTAATGAGCTGCTGTCATAGTGACATTGACGTAGTGTCAATGTCACACTAGAAACGTCAGGTTAGCGGTTAGAGGAACGCGCGTGGACGACTCCCCGCGCTTGTGCTAATTGATGAATTATTGTAATTTAAAATGAGGCAATATTGTATAGGTAATGTGAAAGTAAAGTATCTAGTGTTTTATTTAATGAGAAATTAAAAATAGATCTACCGGCTCCTAACGGTTTTTTACGCTAAGATTGTGCGGGGAACGAACTCTAGAATTCTAGATCACTGGCATAGTACTTGAAACGCGAGCCAAAATAGGTCACGCGGCCGTCTAGTAATAAAATGAAATAAAATATTCTGTAATATGTATCTTCTAAAGTAATAATTACGGCACGTAAATCTAAACACCATTGTCTAAAGTTCTTGTAAATAGAGCTACTTTGGAAGAAAACAAAATATTGAACTATGCCGCTAAAGTCTGACTCCTGTTCAAAACAAGTAAGTTCGAGGAATCGCCTTGATTTTAGCTGACAATTTCAGACTAATTAAATAATGTCAATCAAGACTTAGCACGTCTTAACAGAATAAAGGGATTTAAAACTTTCTAGTTTGTTTTAGTTCGAAATTTAAGTTAACTCAAGTAAGTGGATTTAATATTTGCATGGAAAATCTCAATACAACGTCGGAAGTAAATTGAATTTATTATCAGGTCTTTGAACCTGTCACGAGTCGCACAGAAAATGGATTTTAATTAATACGTAACCGCGACTGAAACCTTACTAGACGTTAAGGTTTAAAACTTGGTTAGCCTTGATGTTTATGGTTAAATGTAACAAGCCCTTATAATACATAAAGACTAATGTTCTGTAGCTGTTACAAAAATACAATGTTACGAGTATGCTACGAGTACGCTACGAGTGCGTTACGAGTGCGCTACGAGTACGCTACGAGTGCGTTACGAGTGCGCTACGAGTACGTTACGAGTGTGCTACGAGTACGCTACGAGTGCGCTACGATTCCGCTACGAGTACGTTACGAGTGTGCTACGAGTACGCTACGAGTGCGCTACGAGTACGCTACGAGTGCGCTACGATTGCGCTAAGAGTGCGTTACGAGTGCGCTACGAGTACGTTACGAGTACGTTACGAGTACGCTACGAGTACGCTACGAGCACGCTACGAGTACGCTACGAGTACGCTTCGAGTTCGATACGAGTACGCTACGAGTACGCTACGAGCACGCTACGAGTACGCTACTGAACTGAAACTAATTTGTGTACAGCCAACAAAATGAGTGATGTAAAGTAATAAAAATCAATTAAGAGTTTGTAAGATTCATAGGTTTGAATATACAAACTCAGTCTAGCACTCTTGATCATGATTCAGGTGGGTCTCAAGGTATGGCTCCATTACCTACCTTCCAAACACTAAACGCCTAAATGCTTCGGTTTAAAAACGATTTTAATTCTTGTGTATAGAAAAATAACGTCAAGGTGGTTCAAATAAGAAAGACGTTGATCCAGAGTAAACATGTTGCATAGTCAATTCACATTGATTTATTCTGTACAAAGTTCGATCTACCATGTTGTTGTGTGACGTCATAAATAAAAAACCCGCACATTTTATCACATCATCTGCTGAATTTTGTGCACTCTGTACCAGTCGTGTAAGAAACTTTGTCCTTATACATATTATGTATGTACTCGTAAGTAGTGTATGTAAATGGAAACAGTAAAAACAGCTTTTATTAAAATACATTGTATTTTGAGCGTGCCCAAACAAATATTTCGACTACCCAAGATAGTGTCAACGAAGAGGGCCGACCCCAAATAATAGGAAAGAGCTAGGAAAATAAATTATTTTATTTTGATACCTTTGGACCACCAATATTTAGCACACCCAAAATACTCGAAAAATAGTAAAGATATACATTAAAAAACTAATACACAAAGTGCGTTAAATTAACGACTAATTTAAAAGTTCGTGTTACACCGTGGTGTTACAGTACGAAAGAAGTACAAGACAAGGCAATAAATTATAACTTGGATAATCATAAAAGCATTGCTTTTAAAAAACAATATTAAAATACTTAATCCGATTCCCTCAAACAAATCTAAGTTTTAAATCATTCGCTCGAATTCAGAGTAGGTCTTTCTTTATCAATAATTGCTTTTATTGTGTTATACAAAGTTATTATACAGGCTGTAGGAGCACGGCACACTGACACGAAATATAGGGACGAAGTTTAAAACTTAGAATTAAATAGATCACTTAATAATAATTGAACTCATAAATCTACTAATACACGGCACAGGTGGAAAAGTTTACGGTGGTTGATGTCAAAAGTCAAATGCAGAGCTTACTATCCAGTACTTAGGTCCTTTCCAGGGCGCTTACTTATGTCTCAAATATACTCGTAGCTTGCCCTACTACCACTTCGGGACAACATATGGGGCTGGTGCTGTAAAGAAGTGGCGGAAAAAACTCATGAGCCAGAGCCAAACATTGAGTGCTTAGGAGTGTGAAAAGAAAATGCACAAAGAATTATGTATTTTTTTTTTATATAATACAGTTAATTATATTGCGTTATCAACAGTAGTCTTCATTTAAAATGTTGCCCCTCACATCTTGTATACCCAGAAAATTGAATCTCGTTTCAGTTCAAATCCCAAATAACAGAGTTTCAGCCTGAACTAAGTGAAGAAATGTATTTCTAAGTGATACAAGATAAATTGGATTTAACTTCAGCCATTTCAGTTTGGTGTAATCTTGAAAGTTACAGTAATTACTTTTTACACTGATTTCTTCAAGTTTCATTCTCTCATTAAATTGAAAGATTAAGGTCTAAAAATAATACCGAGATAAAGTTCAGCTCAAAATATTTCTTCTTCTAATCTATTTTAGCCATGACCTTCAACTAAAATAATATTTTAGATGAAAAATATAAGTAAATGTTAATGTTTCAGGTAAAAAGTGATACCTAATTAAAACTTTCACAAAAAGCTTTACCTGATGAAATATTTTCACTTAGCAACGCCCACACGATGGCACTGTGTGGTTTTCATCAATTTCTATTTGGGATGTTATAGAAATAAAATAAATTGAAACCTTTGATTTAGCGTACTAGTGATACTAGTGAAACTTGCATTTTATTCTTTGTTGGAAAAAAATGTGCTTATTAATGTTTACATTAAGCTGTGCTCAAAATGTAATGTGCAATCATGAAAACACGTGTAAATTAAATTATTTAGTGCGATGGCCAAGTCAATATATTTATGTAAAAAGTTAAAGATTTCCTGGCCTGGACTTGGTATTACATGGATCTCACAACTTTTTACCGTAGAACAACTGAGTTGCGAGACTTGGTTTTTTTGACAAGTATTGTTTTTGATGGGATTACTTAGACACCTACTTATTTTCTTCAACTGAACAGTCCCTGCTTGTTCATTATTTTTCAGAAACCAAATTTTCTCAACCTTAAAAATAAACATTTGTGTCTTGGGCTACAGCCTTAAATAAATAAAACTAACTGAGAATCTTTCCTTCCATTATTAAAGCATTAAAACTAATATTTGAGGTTTTTATGCAGTTTTTAGTTGTTTTCAACACCTCAAATTTAATAAAACCAACCTTCGTAGAAACTTGTCTGATATTCGCAATTCCCGGAGTAAAAGGCGCAAATAGAACATTTTTATTGGAGCATAAATTATTTCACGGCCAAATCTACTGTTAAGTTTTTATGAGGTGTTTTCTAAATGAGAATTTTACCTTCTGTTAAATGAAATCGCTTTCATACTTTTCTAGATAAGATATAAGCTTGTTACAATAAAATACTCGTATATGGAACATTTAAAATAGAAAAATACCGGCCTCAACGCGACATTTTTATATGAGTTACATTATGTGTTAATAAATGAAATCTTTTGTAGAGCATTTAGTTTTAACGAAACGGCATCAAATCAAAACTGCGCTGGATGGAGTGCATGCTATCTACACTCGGCATCAAATAAATCGCACCTCCTGCGACAAGCACTTATCAAACGGATGCATCCCCACTTCCCACCAACATTGGTACCATTTGAAACCTTCATTTCATTAAAGGAAAGGTTTTTACCCTAAAAATGTGTCTTTAGAAGGATCCAGAGTCACTTCTTCAAAAAATAGGAAGTTACGTTTGAGCCAACTTTTATGGCTATTATAAAATTGTTACATTGGAATTAATTGTATCGAACTGTTGAAAAGATTATTTGGTTTTATAACCACAAAAATTGGTCTACTTGGTCCCAGAGGTGACCAGAGGCCTTTTTTCAAGTCACATTTGTGGTACCTGTTAATTGTTTATAAAAAAATGTATGTGTTTTTCTTGTTTATTTATTGGACTTTCAAATAACACCAATATTGTTGGGGCACCATGATTGTGTCAGAAGATAATCTTTAAAGTTCGCGTCGCGGAAGGTGCGATTTATTTGATGTTGAGTGTAGTTCTGTGCTATCTAGTAGCTCTAAAATAGAGATGTGACAGCTGCGTCTGTTGTTGAAGACTTAAAAAGGACATGGAGTTTGGACGGCCACAAGGAGTGGCAAACTTTGGCCTTAAATAGGGATAGCTGTAGATATTATGGAGGATACCTTTGCGCAGCAGCGAATATAAAATAAAGAATGAACACATTATTATTTTTTCAACATATAAGTGCCAGTTCCAATTTGTGTAAATATATGAGGGCACTTATCATTTTGGTCCCCATGGCTTTTATTCTCCGTGAAATAATAGAAACACGAGGAAATTACAACAATTTATAATGTTTTTCTTCGCAGCACTACAATTAGGTATTACAAAAAGCTCTATCTTGATAATAATAGCTTTTTGGTCTTGAAGGAATTTTATTTCGGATCGTGTGTAAATTTTCTGCAACAAGGCTATTAAAAAGCACTTAGGTATATGACCTAAAACTGTATTACTACTTCATAAACTTCCTAAATAAACTCTAATATGCTTAGAAAAATCGGCACAAGAACGAGTTTCTATTGTCAGCTAGCCAATCATGGTCGAAAATTACTAAATCTACGAGTACTTTCAATATGATACAAAATAATGACGTAGGCGTATCCTAAACTAATAGATTAAGGCTGGGTTGCACCATCTTAATTTAACTTTAACAAACGTAAAAATTCTGTCAGACTCCATACAAAAAACACCGGTCATCGTCATACGATCAAAGTTAGGTGGAACTCAGTCTAAATATTATTGCCTGATGTTAGAGCTAAATTTGGAAATTACTAGAAATACAAACCCTTTCAGGGTTCATTTCATTGAGGATTTAATCTCGAATTTAATGAAAATGTGTGGTCAAAGTGTTGGTTAAACTATTTAATATCGTAGGGTCAGAGTCACCGTTTACGAGTATTACCTAGCCATCTGTTGTTTTCCTAGTTTATCTAATGACATCCTAGATAAAACAAAATATTTAGCATAGAGCATTCTGGAGAAATCAAATGGGAACATGTGAATTTTGTCTGAAACAAGGATGTAGTAAAGTAATAACCAAGTCGACTTTATCGTTTGTATAGTTTGAAAATAAATTTTAACATGACGTGTATATTTTACAGCTTTGAATTTAATGAAAAACAATTCGTAAAACTGCCTAAAACAGGACAGTTTTATCATGGAGTATCTCAAAAGAATACATTTCGCATAAAGCAGATTTTGGTTTAACAACAATGTTTATAAAAATGCCCTGCAGGGATGCCTTTCGTTTTTACGCGTGGCAATCCACAAAGGGGTTGTAAATAAGAATTGTTCGTTCATAAAAAGGCATACTCGTGAAGTGACGTAATCGAAAACGTGTAGACTTACGCACCTGTGGGTGTGTGAGTGTATCAGGTGTGTTCTAAATTGAACATCGTCCCGAGTGGCTCTTTTAGACAAGTGCAGATCTTTTTCGACAATACTAGTTAGTAGTTTTGGACAGCACG